TATTTTATCTATAAAAATGTTATATAGTTAACTTATATAGTTATTATTTTTTTTTATGCCTTTTAAAATTATATAATCTTGTCTACTAAAAGTTTTTCTTTAGCAGTTTCCCTCTAAGGTGGAAGTTTATACAGGTTGTAATGTAGTATAGATTGTGCAGGTGGTATTAGTAGTGCATACACTACTGCAGGCGGTGGTGTGTACAATTAAGGGTGTGGAGCAGGCGTTAGGTAGGGTGGCATGTATTATTTATACAGTAATTAGTGTAGTGCTAGCTAAGGTGTAAAAGCAAGTAATGCTAGTACATTTAGTATTAATAGCAGCATTATGTTTAGTCTACTTTTATGTAGAGCTTTATATAGTAATAAAAGTTATATATAAAGCTTTTTTAGTGTAATTACTTTTTTTTATGCTATATTATACAGCTTCTAGGCTTAGGTACCTTTAGTGCCTAGCTATAGTGTAATTCTCTTGTCCTTTAGCACTTATATAAGCTTCTTTTTAAACACGCAGCTAAGTGCTAAGAAGTTTTATAGTGTCTATTTTTTAAAATCTTTTATATACGCACTTAAAAGAGTAGCGCCCTTTTTAAGTTATTATACATAAATTAGTAATTATATAACTTATATATAATTAAGTCTATAAGCTTATTAAAGCCTCTAACATATTAATCTTATTATTCTAGTACTCTAGGCTAGTCTTATTTTATAGTGTTGCTTCTAATATTTTTATGTCTTTTATAAGTTATTTATATAATAGAAATTATTTTTTATTTTTTCTATTATTACATAAAGTTATTAGTTGCTAGTAGAATTTTATTATAATAGTATAGTTAATTGCTTTTTTAGTAGATTACATAGGTACTGCTGTTGTCTAGCTGCTAAGTTATACAGCTTTAATAGCTTTAGTGTGCGCCTTACACTATTTTCTTCTTACTTTGTATAGTAGCAAAGCTTGCTGTATAATATAAAGAATTAATATGCTATTGTCTAGCTACTAGGTTGTGCAGCTTTAGTAGCTTTAGTGTACGTCTTATACTATCTTCTTTTTACTTTATACAGTAGTAGAGCTTACTATATAATGTAAAAGATTAATTTACTATTCTAAGGAATAAGTAACTAAATAAAGTACCTTATAAAGTGTAAGTACTCTGCTATTACTTTTTTTAAAAAATAGGTAATAAAATAAAGTACTTTATAAAGTATAAGTACTTTATTATTACTTTTACTAATTTATAGTTAATTAAATTAACTACTAATTAGTGTTAAATAGGCTCTAACAGCTAGCTGCTTATAGTATAAGCACTTAAGTAGTAAAAGTAAGAGTAGTGTACAGTGTGCACAGCATATAAGGTAGGTAAGGTAAGGGCAATATGTTTCTAGTTCTATTACTCTTATCTTTCCTCTGTACAGAGGAAAAGGGGGATATCTAGATGTTCGCGCACAGAGGTTCGCGCACGAGCATCATGTGACATAGATACGTGATCCTGCTTGTGCGCGATCGTTCGTATCCAGGCCGCGACGCTGCTGCTGCGTACAGACATATATATATATATAAATAGTTTATTTATTTAGTATATAGAAAAAGAAAAGCTACTAGCCCTCTTAGAACACACTACTTCTTATGTGTAGTAGTTGTAATGTAGACTATAGCTCTACTATACACATAAAGTGTAGGCATTAGCCTAAAAGTTAGCTAGCATATAACACTTAATAAAAAAAAAGCACTAGCAGTGCTACTATAATAATAAGTATATAAAGTTACTAAAACTTAACTATAACTTTAGACTAAAACTATATAAAAGTACTTTTTATAACATATAACTTTTACTGCTTATAGCTATAGATTAGTGCTAGTAAGTAAAATAATATTAATATTATAAAATAGTAAAACTACTATATACTACTTTTTAGCCTATCTATAATTAGCATTTTATATAAAAAAAAGTTAAAAAGCTAAAAAGTTTATATATTTATGCTAAGACACTAAATAAACTACTAATTAGTAGTAAAACTAGTTAAAAAGGTAACATAAATGCGCCCTAAGCTGCTAGACTACATAAGAATGTTAAAGACGCTTACGCTAACAGCGCTAAAAGTAGAGAAGAAAGGCTAGAGAGACATCTATATATATATATATATGTGTGTGTGTGTGTGTGTGTGTGTGTGTGTGTGTGTGTGTGTGTGTGTGTGTGTGTGCAGGTAAAAAGATCTATTACTATTAGCACTATATAAAAAAAAAAAGAGCTAGAGAATTTTATAGTAAAGCTTAAAAAGTAAAAAAAAAAAAATTAAAAAGTAAAAAAAAAAAATAATTTATTATATACACTTTTTTATACACTTGCTTATATAAAGATTTTACACTATTTTATTATAAAACCTTATATAAAATAGCTTATACACTACTAAATTACTTATAAAGTAAGTATATAAAAGCTAGATAATAATAGCTTAAAATACTTTACACTATTTATAAAGCTATTTATATAGTGTAACTAGCTTATTTTAATATATAGCATTACTAAAGTAAGTCTTAATAAATAAAGTAAAGTATATGTAAAATATAACTAAATAAACTTATATAAATAAAAAAAAATAACTTATATAAAAAGTTGCTAGTGGTTATACATAGTAGTAGTATTATAGCTTAGATATAAGTAATTATGCATAAGCAGAATTACATATCTATGTTATATAATGCTTATGTGTAAACCTTTATATGTAAATATTTAAATATCCTTCTTTTCCTCTATATAAAAAAAAGAAAAGAGTAATAGAACTAGAAATATGTTACTTTTACTTTACCTACCTTGTATACTATGCACACTGTACACTACTCTTACTATTGCTACTTAAGTGCTTATACTATAAGCAGCTAGTGTAAGGCCGAGATGGTGCTTACGTCCGACGGGTATATATACTATTCTGTACGCAATAATTAACTGTTGGTTGATTATTCGCACCTTTTTGGTTGTATTGGCGTAGTGGTACAGAGCTCCGTCCTTACAGCTAGCTAAAAGGGCCTATTTAACACTAACGCAGTATACAGCAACAATAGCAGTACTAACAGTGTTTCTAATGTTAACAGCGCCCTTAACAGCCCTAACTTAAGCCTTCTTCCTAATTAGGAAATTTATATGTATTATTAGCTGTAGAAGCTTTAAATTAACACATACAGATTGCCTTTTAGTACTGTACTAACTCTCTGTCTGTAACGTACGTACTTAGTTTGTTAGCAACTGTAACGTACCCGTAGTACGCAGAAACCGTACGTACTACGTACTGCTGGACGCGCTGCTGGCCAGCGTATCTGGATGTTTATCCCCATAAAGAGCACGCATTTGGTCACGTGCTCTTTGGGAGTATGCCTCCGCTTTCCCCGAATTGGTCCTCTACCAGCCAGAATACTAGCAATCGTAAGTTCTATGGGAAGAATCACCTGTACACATTGCACTAGTCAGCCCAGACTTACAACGGATCTGTTGGCGCCAATACCAGCTATGCTCTTCATGAAGAACGATGGCACGACCTTAATTCCGTATCTCCTAATGGGAATACAGATGGATATGTTTTCGTACAAGAACACTATTTCCGGTTCTGAAATCGGTTAATATTTAAGAAAGAGCCCTCACATGTACGAATATATATGCTAGAATGAGGGTACTCGAAATGGATCTCAGGCTCTCCATCAGCTCTTCCTACATGAACGATATATGAGAACTCGGAACCTGGGCAAACAACACCCTGGTCTCACAGGACGATTATTTCGCACGCTTCGAAGGTAGAATGGGCTCCACTGCACGCCTAATGACACATATTATGCGGCAGCACAACGCCACCACTGAACAGCATAGTAACTTCTCCGTGGGTATGCTATTGATATCCATGTAAGACATTCAATGGAGACGCTTAGCCGGACCTACTCAGTGTCCAGAATTGACAAGTAGAGCATCTGCACGTGGAACACCTGCAGATTTTCAGGTGCCCGCAGGTCATGCCCGAGGCTCAATTCTATAACTAATCAAGCTAAAACCAACCTAATTAGGTAGTGTGGTTGAGGGAGACACTGTCGTATTAATGTACCGCTGCCGTACTACTAGGAAGCCATAGGCAGCGTTTACAAATTAGACAATGCTAAGGTGCTATAAAGCAAATCTGTAAGTTATCTTAGGTTTAGAAGGACAAATCTGATAATAAGAGATATACAGACTGCTCATAAGGCAAACTTTACGTTTATACACTGCACTTATAGGCACCTGGGAATTTAGGTGGGCCACTTGCTGCCTGTCGATTCTGTACACTACTATTCTTCTTATTTCGAGCTGCCGCTTGCTAACGTCGTCTAATTTCTTGAGAATAGCGTTTACGGTAGAAAAACAATGGACTGAATGTGCACGAGGATCATGTCGCCTACTGTTGTGTACTTTTCTTTCTTTATTAACCATTACCTGTCTATATACCTGATACACCACCTGACCTATCCACACAGCTTTCTATTCACATTTGTGCTGGTGTCCTTAAGCCTTACCCTTGCTTGATCTCCCTTCATTTCCTTTCAGAACGATTGAAATACATGCATTTTCTAGAGCACCGTGGGTGTCGTGGTGAGACACGACAGAAATGCGGGTTTCTTTTGTAATTCAGATCTCATTTACACCTGATGTCCTAGGTGAGAAAATTTCACGATCTTAAATAAGGATTCTAAACATCTGTTACCAAAATACTTCATCTAGTTATTTACAAATACCATCAATTATATCTCCAACGTTTTCACCCTCCGTGCCTCTCTGTGTTCCAAGATTCTAAACGTATTGTGTCTCCGTTAGGTCGGCCTTAGGAAACTCTTTAAATAGTACCTTTTGGATAGGCGTATGGGCTACCCTCGGGAAATCCCTTACACGGCAATACTTGTGGCTGAGGCTAGTTGTAGTAATCGTTCTTTCCGGCGCCACCACTACGTATTGGTCAGAATACTAATCTTCCTGTTCCACTATATTATACTTACTCAGTGCAAAGGCGCTCACCGCAATAACTCTCGAACTTGATGGTCCCTGTGCTTCCTGAGGTGCATAGGAAGATTGAGTTATTGATTTGGTCTTCGTCGGAAGGCTGCATGCGGTATGCGTTTACTCTGGATTGCGGTATGGTAGTCTCTTGTATGGAAAGTTAATTCGTTGTGGTGATGCTGACAATATAGAGGAGAAAGGAGGGATATAGTACCTCGGCGGAGCAAGTTGTAGCCACAATATTTGATACCTAGTTGGCAGTTCTCGGCGGTTGCGAAGCTGGCGGCCGCGAGCAGGTTGATGAGAGAGAACTTCATTTTGGTGGTGGTCGAGAAGATGGGAAGAACGATACAATTGGCAGTGTGTTGGGTATTTATAAAGTGATGATAAGTACTCGGTGTGATGTTGAGGCTTCTTCTATGCAGCCTTTCGACTTGTTCTATACATTGATCTGGATTCCGATTCAGAATCAACCTAAGGCGGGGTCTCGCACGACGGCGATGTTAGCGCATCCAGCTTCGAATTGCAAAATGACGTTGCAAGCTGGTACACATTGCGAATTGCAATATCTTAGAGGCAGAGTCGAGAAGTGCGGTGAATATCTAGCGTGGAATCCTTAGCAGCTAGAGCTGAAATTTCGGCTGCTTTTAACTCAAAGGAGTGACGCGCTAAATATAAAGTCTTGGAGTGGTGTCCATCTATGCACTCGCTTAATGATGAGGCTAAGGGATCTTAGCCCTGATTGAATTTGACTTATCGGTTAGTATGGCATGTAGATATTTCTAAAAAGGCGCGAAAATAGGTTTTAGGAAGTAATTAGTAGGTAACCCCTATTCGGAGGAGGTTTGCTCCATGAGCAAAGCCGTGTTCGAGGCGCGGACATAAAGTACGGTCCGGACAGTGGTGTCGTCATAGCGTTTGATGCGGCCATGAATCTATATTCGCAATCTGCCCATAGCCTGTAAGCTTCCTTTAACAGTAGGACTCCGATCTTATGTTGAGCAACTACCCACAGAATAAAATGGTTGCTTGGTGGCTGCCCTGATTTTAAGGAAGAGTCAAGGGGTATTAAGTTGCGAGGGTCAGTAGTAAGGGAAGGTTTACTTAGACTTCCGTCAGGAGTCTTTCTGAAAGAGGGTTTTGGCATGTTGTCAACCCTCTCGATCCTGAGGCGGGAAACTATCGCTCAGAGGTGACCAGCTGATTTTCAGCGACGATAATGCAAGGCTACGGGCACTCTGATGAGTGAGAAATACGGAAACAGAACTCTAACCAGGATTTTTTACTATCCGCTGAATTATTTTCATACACTTCGGCGTTCCCATTCTCTCCCCATCTTCTCAGTCACAACATAGTCTTTCTCATTTCCGCTCCGTTAAACTCAATTCGCTTAGCGTCGTTGAGCACTACTCTCAGGGCTAAAATCCCTTGCGATTTGATTAGCTGCCAATTTCCCTCCATGTTGGTGGAGAAGAAATCTTCGTGCTCCTAAGTTATGTAAAAAGGGTCTTCAAGGCTGGGGTGCATCCAAATTAGCACATGCATAAAAGCGTTGAAACGTTTCTCAGCAGGTGACTTAGCACGACTTGAGAGTATTACACCCGCATTTCTTGATCTTAAATCTTTCGGGCCCCTTCCTGTTTGCCGCCCTGGCAGATTGTCTTCTCAATCGAAGAACTTATTTAACATTCCCAACTTGGCTGAGCCTTCATCCCAGTCATACAGAGAGGTTACGATTCCATCCGCATGCGTGAGAATTTTTGAAAGCCAAATCCTCGTAGAATTTCTCTTCGTCAAAAAAGTGCGCGAAGCTTTTCGGAGTGTCCACAAGAAGCACTCAGGGTTACTAAGCATGATAGTTACCGGGAGAGAATCAATCCTTGTCATCATCATCGTCACCAGAATCACAAGAATCATGATGGCAATCTACCGGAAAGAGCCCCAAATACTCCATAGTTTCACCCCTCTTATGTGGCAACTAGCGTCTACAAATTGACTGTTTATGTAACCATGCCAAGCCACTATCTACTAGTGCCTGTACCTCTCTATGTACCATGGCTGCCCTAGAGGCTGTATATCAATACGGCAGCGCTCTTCCGCTGCACCAACCGAGCTTACGGTTTATTTGTCTTTAATCTCCCGTCGTGGCGGTAGCGATGACCGTTCCTGATGTACCCTTCCCTCAGGTAGCTTAAGCTACGGTCCCCAAGCACACATCAGCCCAGACAACAGGTAATCTTTATTTCTAAAATGTCACGTGACTCAACGGAAGCGAGGCCAGCGAAGGAATACCAGCAATTCAGGGGCATTTTATTTGTCCCAGAGGTATACAACAATAGACGCCTAGTCAAATTCCTTTGGCTTGCCGTCCATAGAATAAGACGAAGGGCTTTGATGCCGGAGCACATTGACAAGGAACTAGCCATGTGTGCTTAGCGATCTTCTCTTGTCATATTCTGTAGCCTTGCGGGGGGGATGAGTTGAGAGTGGTATGTTGTGGACTGAAGGTCTAAGGTGCTATATAATATTCAGTACATAGCCAATTGTAAAGCCCTTAGTCGACTAGATAAGAGCGAAACACTTCTTTGAAATTAGATAATGTTAATGTTATAATATAGGCAGCTTATCCTAGACAAAACAAGAATGTATTAGAGTAGCAACTAGTAAAGTGTGAGAGTGAGATATTGTGTGTGTGTTGTTGAGCTGTCTAGTGTCACTGATCTAATGATAATTTGGTAGGGATTATTGTGTTGTTGCGGTATGTTACATGAGATGACAGGAGGTAGTATCATCAAGCTAAAGGATAATGCATACTATACTCTTCAAGGATTTTAGTTTGCATAGTGTATTGTCACGATCGTTTCATATCTACTTTTCGTCTGGCCTAGAGTAATGCTGCGGGCCTATGGAGTCGGAGAGATCAAAGATGTATTGCTGCAGGTTGCTTATGCGCTAGATCCCAATCAGGTCTCGCGTCATTATCGCCATTGCAACCCCGCATGATTGGTTCATGCATCTGTACAATAGCAACTTCTAGCAGGCAGGCGAAAGCATTAACCAATGTGCCGATATCGAGATTTCCTGACTCACCAACCCGGACACAGAATCCGAAGTTTATCGTTCCAAAATTCGTCCGGCTGGGAACAGGGGGAGTAGCTGGGGTGAAGCTTAAATGTTGACTATTGCTATAGTGACACCCGCTGGTCTCGACTCCGACTCCAACACCATACATAGCATTCCTCCAAAAACACCCTCCGAAACAGGCTCAACATGCCAATAGTCTCTGGATTCGTAAATTTCAACCCGAATTCCGACATCCCTTCCCTCTCAGGCAGAGTCATTTTCATCACAGGGGGTATCTCCATCCCCTTTTCCTAGTTCGCACAGTATCGTAACACTCCTTAGGAACGGCAGGTATCGGTCTCGAGACTGTGAAGCTCCTCGCCGTGCACAACCCCGGCCATATCTACTTCTCTGGCCGCAACGCTCGATCCGGGAACGCCCTAATTGAGGAGATAAGGAATAAGCACCCGGATGTTGGGATCACGTTTGTGGATATGGATCTTTCGTCCATGGAGTCTATCAGCGCGGCATTAAAGAGCTTTGTGCATGATCGTCTAGACACTCTGATAAATAATGCGGGGATCATGGCGCAACCCCCAGCGTTAAGTAAAGATGGGTATGAGATCCAATTCGCCACAAACCACCTCGGCCACGCGCTGTTGACAAAGCTACTCTTACCAACCATGCTGAAGACCGCCGCGCTACCAGACTCCGATGTACGCATAGTGAACCTAACATCCGTCGGATACCGCGGCCATCCTCTGAACGGAATATCGTTTGACGAGCTCGATACCTCAATGAATCGCCCCATTTTAGGCCCGTGGATCCGCTACGCACAAAGCAAACTCGCAAACATCCTCTACGCCTCTGAACTCTCTAGGCGATATCCTAACCTAACATCGGTGTCTGTGCATCCGGGTGTTGTGGCGACGGAATTGGTTACGAAGCAGACGTTTTTGAATCGTGTTATGATTTATGTGCCGAATTGGTTGATGGGGGTGAGAATTCTGGAGCCAGAAAAGGGGGCATATAGTCAGGTGTGGTGTGCGGTGGGGGCGAGGAAGGAGGAGGTCAGGAATGGGGCGTTTTATATGCCGATTGGAGCTGAGAGTACTGGAAGGTTGGATGGGGTGGCGAGGAATAAGGAGTTGGCGGGGAGGTTATGGGAGTGGACGGAGAAGGTCTTGAAAGAGAAGCGAGGGGCTAGTACTTAGATATTGACTGCAGGCTATGCGTAACGGGGGACATGGCGCAGGTCACTGGGAGGAATTCCTGCTGTTTTCAGCTCTGGGGAGTTTACCTCGCACGGAGATCATAAACCTATGACTCTTCCTTCTCTTGGATGGCAAGTGATGTAGAATCCTACCGAGTGACTGTTATGGGCCGCTCGCTATACCTCAGGCGAAATTAGAGAGGATCCACAGCAGAAAGGTCATCCACAACTCTCATTTCGCCCGAACGCGAGCTTTCTTGGGTGACTTTGTCATGCAGCCCCCATCCTTAGTTGAATTCACCGAGGCACCGATCGCGTACATCCATAACAGAATCTTGCAGCGCTGTCCCCAGGCAGCTCACTAAGTCCGTCTTGTTGATCTCCTCCCCAGCCATAAATACCGAACCGTCCATCTGGAACGGGCATGTTGCATAGATGGCAGCGGCGATCAGTGCCCTGAAAGAAAGTTGATTCAAGCTTACTAGTAGTTCGGACCACATTTGAGACAATACTTGGAAAGTTCTCCTCGACAGACTCGAAATACTGTCTCATAAGATCGTCAATGGTAGTGTTCTTCGAACTCATGGAAGGCGGAGGAGATGGGGTAGAGTTTTCATATATGAGTGATGAGAGGGAGGGTTCGACCATGTTTGCGTAGGCTACGAGCTCTTTCTTGAGGACATCTCGCAAAGGGTAGTTGAATGCAATGCCGAAGGCAGATTCGCCATCTGCTATCCGCCATGGGAGAGAGAATCCACGTCCTTTGGCCGTTTCGGAGAGCGTCTTCTCGGCAAGCTTAGTCGTGCTGTCGCCCCAGAGGATGCCCTCGCAGCCGAGAGACTTCGCATACTCTAAGACCAGCCTCATCCTCAAAGTTGAGGTGACATCTGCGCGAGCGGTAGCGGACGTGAGTGAGCCTATCAATGCTGCAAGGCGGTCTGAGGCAGAGTGGTCGGGCGTCGTTTCCATCTTCGGACTTAGCCCAAGAAGCGGGCTGTCCTCAGGGACTAGACGAAAAATATCGTGCAAAGGGAGCGACGCATACTGATGGTCAGGATATCGTCCCCGGATACGAGCTAAGAGTTCGTCGCTTGGGCCAGAGGCCGCAGGGCTCAAAGTGTCAACGAAGAGAACTGCCAGTGAAAATCCAGTTCGGCCAGTTTTTGATGCTTGAGTTTTGAGATGATGATCGAGGATGTGCAGAAGTGTAACGGATGAAACACCAAAGGAGACGGGCAAGAGAATTTTCCGCTGCTGGGCTGGAGACGAGTAGCGGACTCGGAGCGATTCCATTCGTTTAATAGCCTTGGTGTGGACATATTTGACGAAGCAGTCACTGTGGAGAATTGAGGGAAGGTTGCAAAAGGCTGCATCTAAGAACACTCACCGGCAGAGAGGCTCACTTCTCACTACCAGAACAGCAGTCTTGTCTGCGCACCGCCTGCAAGGCTGTTCGGCTGCACCTGCTCCATGTTTGCCGGGCATGTTGTTGGTGTGGGTATGTTGAGGACTGCGGGAAGCCTGGGGGCGATGTGTGTTTGAAACTGCTGCGCCACAGGTGGGAAAGTGCAACCGGGCCAACCTCGGGGAGCCTGCGGGCGGAATTTGTAGAAGACTGACGACGCCGCGTTGGGCAACCGCAACCTCGCCCGCGACTTCATTAAAAGCACCCTTCATTCGCAGCGTCGCATGTGACGGCAACATTCACCCATCAAACGCGAACCTACAGCTTCCTTCCTCTGTCCAAACTCCCATCCTTCCCCCGTGCCAGCTCCGCCAGCTGGCCTTCCAGACATGATGAGGCCATGGCTGCGGACAGCTGCGGTCCTGCTTCTGTCGACCATAGTAGCCGTCACAGCTGTTGATGTCACGCTGGTATGAATTCCAAGGTCACGGGGTCTTGCGCTATCGCTAACACACGCCCAGACGCAAAAGGACCCCCAGAAATGTTCCGGCATGTATAGCAAGAAGTCGTGGGGCGGAAATCAGGAGCCCTTCATTTTGGTCAAGTTCATCAAGGACAACAAGGAGGGGGAGGCAGATCCCACCGTCGGCGTAGTCATCTGGGAATGGAAGGACGCGAACCTGCTCGGCAAGCCCACCGACGCCGCTCTAGATGATGTACGCCTTCCCGCGCTCCCCTCCCTGGTATCCTGAAGATGGCTGACGAGAGCAATGCAGCGCAAATACATATGCGATGACGAGTCCATCGGCCAGAGCCTCTGTAATGAGACGCACAAGGGCGAATGGATCCTCGCCGACAACTCTGACATGCTCTCCAAGAACTACATCCGCACCGCCGCCATCCACCTCAAAGAGCCCCGACCCATCAATTACCCCGTGGCCTCGGCCGCCCAGGCTAAGATGACGCTTCGGACGGGATACTACTGTGTTGCGACAGCAGCTTACTCCGATAACATCGATTACACGGCAATTGTGAGCTTCCGAAACGCCTACGGGGAGCTACCGGCTGCCCAGATTGCTAAGCTTCCATTCTACGGAGGCATCACAATTGTGTATGCCGTCATCGGAATCTTCTGGGCGTTCCTGTACGTCCAGAACCGGTCCGACATCCTCGCCGTGCAAAACTATATCACAGCCATCATTGTGTTCCTAGTCCTCGAGATGTTGATGACGTGGGGCTTCTACGACTACCAGAATCGACATGGCAACAACCTGGGCGCGAAGGTGCTCATGATCATCGTCGCCGTCCTCAATGCCTTCCGCAATTCATTTTCCTTCTTCCTGCTCCTGATCGTGTGCATGGGATACGGTGTAGTCAAGCCAACATTGGGCAAGACTATGACCATTGTTCGCTGGCTTGCCGTTGCGCACTTCGTATTTGGCGTCATTTACGCCGTCGCTTCGCTTACGATCCGACCGGATGATGCGGGGCCTCTGGTTCTGCTCGTCATTCTTCCCCTCTCAGCCACGCTTACAGCCTTCTACATCTGGACGTTGAATTCCTTAAATCTCACCATGAAAGATCTCATGGAGCGGAAACAGCACGTCAAGGCGGACATGTACAAGAAGCTATGGTGGTGCATCCTGGCGAGCATTATTGTCATCTTCGGCTTCTTCTTCATCAACAGCTTCACCTTTGTTGGAGCATCAAGTCCAGATTTCGCGCCCCGTCACTGGCAAACAAGGTGGTTTGTCCTAGATGGATGGCTGAACCTAGTATACCTAGCCGATGTGTGCTTTGTTGCATACATGTGGAGACCAACGGCAAACAACAGGCGATTCGCTATGAGCGACGAGGTATTGTATTCCGAATCACTGTGCTTTCTTCCGAGGCTTACCCGACGTACAGATCGCCCAAGATGATGAAGGCTTCGAGATTGCGTCTCTCCGCGATTCACTCGATGAAGAGGAAGGTCCGTCAAGCCACCCGCCCGCATACGATCCAGCGCCACGACACCGCAGCCCAGGTCACGGCCAGGGCTTCAACCGTGATATCTCACCCCTTCCCGCTCCCAAGCCTCAAAAGCCCGTAGTGCCTCCTAGAGAGAGTCTAGATGGTGACACCATTTTCGCAGTGGGCGAGGACGATAAGTGGAGTGACGACGAGATTGAGCCTGCCAGCCCGACGGATGGTGACGAGCGCACCCGATTAACGAGCAGGAAGAACGATTAGTGACAGAGCTTGTACAGTACCATTATCAGGAGGTCTTCGGTCGGATAGGGAATCTCTCTGGAGGATGCAGCATGGGTGTACTGATGGCGTTCGTCATTTCATTGGATATTTGTACTGTACAGAACCACATCAGGTTGTGTTTACGTCTCCTTTTCTTACGCATTTCCGGCGTTCTATAGTCAGCCAGTATCGATCTTCGAATGCTCAATGACTTATTGCTGTGAAACCTATTTCGTAACACTGAACATAGCGCGGCAGGAGTTCATTTTCCGTTTTGGGATTCAACCCCTCGCGTCCATGGGGGTCATCGTGCCTTCCAAATTCACAAGACACCTCGTTTTCGAAGCGTGACAGGATATTTCCACTCTCACCTTCAACCTCACATTTGCTCTCATTCCCGACCATTCCCTACTCTCCTCCCCAAACTCAACCCTGCAGTCTATGTTGCGCTCTGTTAATGCCCAAAGCTATCAAGTTGTCATCTCTACCCAAAATGGTCGCCTGCATCGTATTCACATTCCTGAAGCGACTCATTCTCCTGTTTCCCAATGCCTCCTTCATGACAACCCCCCTTCACGACCATCTTCATTTCTCTCTCATTCTCATCCCGATTGCTCACGTGCTCATATTTAAAATGGCTTTTCGATTTCGCATCATGTCTACCTTGATTATCGGGGTGTGGGCTTCAGCTTCTTTGAGTCTGATCATGATTATGATATTGTCGATGATCTCACCTCCGATTCTGGCCTTACTCGCGACAAACACTGGCTTCTCTCCCCGAACAATTCCAAGGCAGTGGCCGACCACATGAACAACGTCGGTCTCATTAGTATCTTCAGCGAATACAAAGACATGCTAAAAAACTACACCATCGTCGACTTCGAGGGACGAAAGCCCATGAACCAAGATCTGATCGACTCCCCACGTTACTATGTCATGGTCCTGGGTATGCTCGCAATCCTCCACAGCTAGAATATGTCGCGTCGCATCCACCGCTGGATTAATGCTGATTACGCCAATATCGGACTGCGCAAGGATAAAGAAGACCAAGCTATGAAGGGGGTGGCAGGGTTTCAGAACGGGAAGCCATATGAGCCGGGAAGCCTCCCGCTGAAGTCAATGATTACGAAGGTTACACTAATGTCGAAAGGTATGTCTACCTACACTTTTCCCGTTGTGGAAGGGGGTAGTATGCTGATTGCTGCCTCTAGATGAGCATGATTCCTAGGGTGGAGACAACCCCGTCAGAGTATGATCTGAGATAACGAGATAGCTGTGAAGTTTTATGGTACAAAGGACAAGGCGGTAGATATCTTCAACGTCTCCGACGGCAGGAACGGGGACACGGAGATGGGAGATAGTGGTGAGTCGTCTACGTCCGGAGATACCCGCGGCAACACCGCGGAGAATATGACAGCCTCTACAGCAGGGGTTACTCGCGGTTGGTGGGTGTAACCTAGGAAGAAGAATGAGCCTCGCAAGCCCAACGACATGTACGTTTTCTGATCAACGAGAGTCTTTTCGCGTTCATTACTTACACCGAGGTGTAGGATTGGTCAAGTGGGTATGTTAGCACGGACGCATGTTAATGCCCATTGATGTTCGGCAATGCTGCTATGTTCGGCAATGTTCGTAGGCTTCAATGATGGATATAAAAGGACTTTAAATGGGATGAGTTCCAAAGACTGGGTGGAGATATGCGCGATACGCGGTTTCCACTGTCTTCAGATGGGATATCTCAAACATGCTGAAGCTGGATTTTGATATTGGTTGGGGCTGTTCCCTCGTAGCTTCCTACCACTTGCGATGTGCGCTCTTAGCCAAGAGCGGGAGTGGTTGTATCTATTATGTGCAAAAATCAGGAAATTTCTTGGCGTTCCTCAGATCTTTTTTCCCCTCACTAAAATTGCATAGCTAATAGGCTTGTTTGTCCTAGTATCTCCATCTGCTGCAGATCAACTCCTTAAACAGAGCTTTGCCATCTTTATTGCTAATTTTAGAAGGCCTTCTAAGCTTCATAGTAAGTGGCTTACAGACGCTGCTATAAGTCTTAAGATTATTCTCTACATTATAAACTATGTAGAGAGAACAACCCTTACAATTAGCAATTGCAGTTCTAGACTATCTAAGCAGAAGAAACTAACAGATGTTTATACAAACACAATTATTAAGCTCTTAGGTGCTTAGTTTAAGATATTAGTGTAAGGCCGGATGTCCCAGAACGGGCCAGTATGGCCTCACCTGACCTGTTTGGAGGTCATATGACCTGTGCTTCGTATATAAGCATGAATCCTGACAAGCGAGGCTTGGCAGCGATTCGTCTCTCTTACAATACACTCCTATCTTTCTCCGAAAGCTTGCTCTCAGTGCTATCCGTGCTACCTACCATCCCATCTTTACAATTAGGGTAATTAGGGCTAGCTAGGAAAAGGATAGAGGCGCTATAAGTGCAATACATTAAGAATAAACACGTTGTTACTCTTAAAAAGTTAGTATAGGCGCTTCTTTATACAAAATAAAGGCTTTAACTTACTTAGGGCTAATCTAATTGCTATTTGTTAATATATTAGGAATTCTATTAAGATTCTAATCTCCCATACAATTTTAGTAGGGGAAAAAAAAAATCTGAGGAACGCCAAGAAATTTCCCGATTTTTGCACATAATAGATCACCTTGGCGCCAAGCCTCCATTGGCCGCAGGGCCGATAATGTAAGTTAAATTTCGTCATCAATGGGCCATTCGAGAGGTTCCCTCACTTCTCTTCTAACGCCCGCCTTTCTCAATGGCTTTGGTTCCGATAAAAGCCCCGTTGAGGACATGTGTATTCATTTGCGAATCCTGCTCAAGAACTCTTCGCGCCCGGCGTAACCCCCACTTTCGTATCTCGAACCCTCCCCGCACATCCACACCATTCTCCACCACATCCCCACTCCGCACTTCACGACCTCTACGCCCTCAGCAAGCCACATTCACTGCCCACCGGACTTCTAATGCTCGCACCCAACATCGTCCGCCTCGACGAGACTATGCTACAAACCCGACTATCTCCAGTCTCAGGCACGAGAAGCCGCTCAACATCGCACCGCTCCACCACCGCCGCCTAATATCCCTCTCCGGCGCCGACGCCCCAAAATTCCTCCAGGGGCTAATAACCAACAACGTAGACCCGGGAGTCCTCTCCCCGTTCTACGCCGCCTTCCTTGATGCTCGTGGACGGGTGCTGTGGGATGTGTTCATATGGCCACAGACAACTCCTGGAGAAGCCTGGGGGTGTTATATTGAAGTCGATGGAGGAGAGTTAGAGGCATTACTGCGACATCTGAAGAAGCACAAGCTCCGTTCCAAGATCAATTTGAGAACTTTAGATGCGGATGAAGTGAAAGTATGGGCAGATTGGGCAGGCGTCACCATGCATATGGATTTACCAGCTGGAAATTTAGCTTTTCTGACGGACCCACGGGCTCCATTTCTCGGAACACGGTTCCTGCTTTCTGGGCCTGGGTCGGAGAATCTCCCGGAATTAGACGAAGAATGCCGTGTGCAAGGGACAGGTCGGCAATACCAGGTCTGGAGATATATCAACGGGGTACCAGAAGGTCCGGCAGAAATCCCAAGAGAGATCGCATTACCCATGGAGAGCAATATTGATTTAAGTGGGGGTATTGATTTCCGCAAAGGCTGTTATGTGGGCCAGGAGCTAACTATTCGCACCAAGCATACGGGTGTTGTTAGGAAGCGGATTCTGCCTGTTCAACTGTATCATACAGGCGAGGAACTGGAAGAGGATGGACTGCCGCGCTATGACCCCGCCTGGACGGGTGAGGTCGATATAGGTGCGGATATCAAGGAATTAAATGGGGAAGGGGAGATTAAGAAGGGGCGAGCGGCTGGCAAGTTGCTTGCAGGTATTGGGAATGTGGGACTTGCGCTTTGTCGCCTGGAGATGATGACGAGTTGGCGGGTTAGTGCGGAGGGTGGGAGTTGGAAACCTGGAGTAGAGTTTGGTCTTCAGGGGAAGGATGGGGTGAATGGGGATGGGAGATTGGTAAGGGTTAAAGCTATTGTACCACCGTGGTTGAGGGTGAGGGAGAAGGAGATTTGGGAGAAGGGGAGGTCGCAGCATGGGTGATGGGTTGGAAAATCGATAATGTACCAATACGAATGTGTGTATGTACAGAGCGCTGAATACGCCCCTCGTGAGCGCATTTTTCTTTTTTCAGTGCAAGATCGTGAATATAGTGGGGCAGTGCAGTGTGGCTGAGTGCACGCGACGTCATCTCAACTCTCTCGTAACTTGCCTCCTCTCTTCTCCTTCCACCGTACATGTTCCTCTCCCACCATACATACATATTCCTACATTCAAAATCCCATTCCCACAGCCACTATGGCCGTAGCAACCTCACAGACCCCCGGATCAACTTCAACTACATCAAACCACTTCTCCATCTCATCCCTCATCTCCCGCTTCCGTTCCAAACGACAACGAGATTCCATTCAGCGAATCAAAGAATCACTTCCACCTCTAAAACCGTCCCCGTTACCACTCGTGCTCCCAGAACATCAGGACACGTTATCTAGACTCGGCTGGGCCACTGTGACACTTCCTACTTCTACTTCCACTAATATTACCACTACCATTCCTAATGAAAATTTAAATGCAAATGCGGGCTTAAATTCTATCCATCCCCAACCCCAGTCCCCAGCCCCAGGAACCCACCCCCTGCTCTCTGCATCCTCCGCCCTCTTTGCCGCTAGTGCAACCTTCTTCGCCCTCCCGGCCACTGAAAAAGCTCAATGGAAAACGAAACTCGGGTCCGAAGAAGGCTGGAGTTGTATCCCAGGGGAAAAGGAATTTATTACGCTAAGAACGATTGAAGGCACGCCAGAGGTGCTGAGAGAGGCTGCGAGCAGGTATTGGGAGTGTGCTGGGATGTATTTGGAGGGGTGTTTGGGGAGGGTGGAGGGAGCGTTGGGTATGCTTAGCGGGGAAGATGGGGAGATGAAAGAAGGGGGGAAGGAGGGTTCAGAGGTAATGGGGGGTCTGAAGAGGTTTGTTGGGCCGTGTAAGAGATTGGGAGAGAAAGAGGAAGATAAGACGGCAACGATGTTGAGATTGTTTAGGTATGAAGGGTGGGAGGAGAAGGTTGTTGCTGAACGTAAGTCTCGCCTGGTTCCCATAAAGCCCTCCTGCTTCCCTACCCCCCCCCCGCCTAAGATGGACACCCTTCCAATCCCCTAGTAAACAAAGTCAAAGTCGTTGATATATGTCTACAAATCCCCCTTAATTCTTTCCAAAATACCGGAAAATATTAATCCTTCAACTTATCCCCTTACACACATTGATTAAAACTCTCCCAGGACATGCCGACCTAGGCCTCCTCTCCTTCGTTATAGGGAGCACACCTGGTCTCGAAGTCTGGAACGGCACGCACTTCATCCCAATCGAGAAATCCTACAATTCCCCTTGCGCAACCCTGCTTTCTGGGAGGCAGTTGCAGCGCCTGACGAATTACAGGTATCCGGCTGGTGGACATCGGGTTGTGTCGTATGGGAAACCAACCAACCACGTACCCGCATCTGCATCCCCGGCAGCTGAGCATGTAGGAGGGGTAGGAGGAGGTGAGGTAGACGCAGTAGAATCAAACTACAGGTTCAGTATAGTTTTCGTCCTGCGAGCGCACGAACCTATTATTGTAGATACAGACGCGTTGACGACAGAGATCACGGGGGTGTGGAAGGAGAAGGATAGGATTCGGGGGATTACAGCAGGAGAGATGTATGCGGAAATACGAGCTACGCATTTTAATATTAATACGGGGTTGAAGGAAAGGGATGAGCAGAGGAGGAAGGTGGCAGAGAGGAAAAGGATGGAGATGGGGGTTAGTGGAGCAGGATAAGAGAAACAGTTGGGCCGGTCTGGTACATGAGCGTGAAATTCGGCTATATCACTATCTAGAATATTCTTCCTTCCACTAGGTCCCTCTACTCCCTCTCACACCTCCCCTTCCTTCACCGCTGCTTTCCCAGACTTCACAATCCCCGCCACCAAATCTAACACCCTAACCTTCACCTCCCAAACCCTCTTCCACATCTCAACCTGCTTCTTCACCGTAGGACCTACATACACCAACTCCGGATGCCACATAGCTAGCGGCCAAAGATCTTCAAGAAACTGTGCCTGGGCCGACAGTAACGGGAATAAATCCCCAAATACGAGACAGCCTAGAATCCGGAATTGGCCGGGGTAATGGGGGGATTCCTCGGCGTGCGGGTCGGGTGGGGTATCTGCGGAGGGAGGGGTAAAGGAAGCGTCGATGGCGAGAACAAACCCGCCTGTATCTCCGGGGCACAAGAGAGACGAGAGCGGGTAGGGTTGCGTGTAGGAAGTGTAGCTAGGGGTGTCAACGGCGAGGAAGACAGAGGAAGCCCACCATTGGGCCTCGGGCTGGTCGCTTGGTCCCTGTTCCTTTCTTTTGACGCCATTGAAGTGTCTGCGGGGCGGGTGTTATATCAGTATACTATACTTCTGAAACCAAAGTGTAAGGGAAAGGGGTAAGAATTACTCACGTTTTCGCAGCATCAACATCACCCTCTGCAATCCCGAGATCCCGTCCATCGTACCAATGCAACCTCGCGTTCGCCTTCACATTTTCAAACCCCTCAATCTCCTCCCCCCAATCCCTCAAATCCTTCTCCAGCAATTTCACAAAATCCTCCCACTCCTTCTCCTCCTGCCCATACGTCAGCCGATATACAACAAACCCCCACCTATCACCGTTCTTTCTCCCCCCTCCTGCCCCTCCACTTGCATCCCTAACATCCATAATCCACCGCGCCGGCCCCAACCTCTTTCCCTCACCTCTCAACTCCCTTCTTACTTCATCCTGCGCAACTTTTTGAACCTGACACGTATCTAATAGACTTTCTGGACCAGGCGACGCCGGCGAAAGCCCAAATCTTGATTCAAGCCCCACGAGCATAGCTCGCACTGCTCTCTCTCGCGAGCGTAGTCGCAGCGTTTGGCTGTACCTTTGTCTCCTCTGTGCAAACGGCGGTTTGGGGATTGAGCAAGGAGGGGATGAGAGGGGAAGGGAAATAAATATAGTATAGTCAGCGTGTGCAGCGATTTCCGTGAGGTCCTGGATGCGGTTTAGGACTGTCATCTGGGTATCCGTGCAGCCGTATACCGAGGGAGCGGCAGCTGGGAGCGTACGTAGGATTTCGTAGTCGCGGCTTCGGAGTGTGTTGACATGAGAGATGATCCATGCGTGGGCTCGTGTCGTCATTTCTGTGAAAAGCGCGGTGATATATTCCTCCCACAGCTTTGCCGTGCTCACCTCTTGCATCCCTTTCCTTTCCTCCAGTCTGTTAAAACAGCCATCGAAATCCCGCAAATGCCCCTGAATCAACCTCACAGTCTCCACTAACCCATTCTTCACTCTCTCCACTTGCAAATACCCAAACACCTCAACTACACTCGCTAACTGCCGACACGCAAACCCGTGCATTTCTACATCTCCAAGCCTCTTCCTCCGCCACATCTCCCTGCTAACTGGCATAATACCCTCCCAAACCCGACTCTTCACTGCATGAACATTTTTTTCAACAATGATAAGCCGTGAGGGGTCAACATTGGACCCGATCCGAATCATCACGTGACCAATCGGGGATGTAGCAAATCGGTCGTGCGGGCCTGGAGATGTCCATGTTGAGTAGGGCGTTGTGAGGTATTTGTTGATGGCTTCGGGCGGGAAGAGAGGGAGAGAGGTAGGGGTGCCTGTGGGGAGTCGGCCGTGGATTAAGAATTCGATAAAGCGGCCGATTGCCTGAGGGGGGATGATGCGGTCGACTGTGGTGCGAGGGAATGTTAGGTTAGTTGGAGGGGGAATGGGGGAGGGAAGGTACCGATCGGAAATGTGTTGTCAATGTGCATCCTCCCGATAAATTCACGGGCATCTCGGGGGTGGTTTTCGCCCCAGTTTGGGTCGATTTGGCTGCGGAACGACATACTTTGTTACAACACCAAGCTGTTGCAACAGATACGCGTTTACACTGGAGATACAGGGCTCAGCTTCTTTTGTGAACGAGGTTACGAATGATGGAAGGTCGTTAGGGTTTGCAATGCCAAGCCTTTACCAGAATCCTTCGAACCGAGCAGGGAAAGTCGGCAGGAATGGGCTTTGGGCTTGGCCATCCTGGGGAATCTGACGAGATACAGAATACCGGCAGAGTAGGACTGCTGCCTTGAATGCGGAAAGGAGTGTTTCTGTCCATGGATGATGTAGCCAATGACATTGCCGTGGAAGAAAGACGATAACGAAGACTCTATATCATGGCCTATTAGCAGTCGCTCCGCAATTTAGGTGGCGCAATGCGAAGCGCCACCTATTATTATAGAGTGTCAGAAACTCTCGGCTGTATGAAAGCCAAGTGAGGCCATGTTTAAGACTGATCTCGTGAAATTACGAGCTAACGGATTTCAGCTCTAGCGCGTTTTCTGGTAGCTGCATGGTTGCATCACGAACCGGACGTGGAGAAAACATTAACCCGAAGAATATCACGGTATCCTCTTTTGTGACTGCTTTCAAGCCAGTATGACAGCACGATACCCATTGAGCTTCTTTGGTGCTCGTCTGTGCTCTCTTACATATGCTCGTGAGCCTGCCTTATCTAACACTCTCAGTGCCCAGCATCAGGCTTCAGGTTCTAGAAGGCAGGTGCTCGAATTTTCATTCCTCATCTCATGTTACACGACGTTAGCTCTCTGTGCTTGGACTTCTTACGGTCCCGAACGTTTATGCTGGACGCTCTGGATGACGAAGTATCCGCAATCAAGCTGTGTGAATGGTGACTACTGTGTTTGTTCATGAGATAGTATGCTTCTATGCGTGAGACCAGTGGTAGGAGACAAAGAAGCTCAGAGAAGAGACCGATGCGCAGGGGGAGAGTGCATTCAATGGGGATTCATCTAGAGAACTAAACGAGAAACGGGAGGCCGAAGGCATGTGTTTCTGTAACGAGAGGGAAGAAGTTATGATAGACCTGGCAGGAGAGGATGTCGTCTGAGTACAACCTGAATAGATTATTTCAAGAGGAAGATGAAGAAAATGTATAAGAAACGAACAAAGATATTTGGTGACGCGATTAGAACCGAACGAGTTCGAAAGGGAGACATCATCAACAACACATTCTTCACGCCATTGCTCAAGTTTCGAATCTCTATACTCTAACAATTGCAGGCGGAAACCTTTCCAGAAACTTCAACGCGAAGAAAGCAAGACGCCCCTTTGTCGGGATTCTCAGCCATCGAATAAATGGATAACCGAACAAGCTTCTTTCGCACTCTCATACGGATTCTCAATCCCGACGCCCTCCACCCCAGCTACTCTCCTATTTCTCGCGAAACCCGACGTGCTCCCACTTACCACTATTACAACAGTAGCGGGCAAATCAAAAGCCGATGTTTGGCAAAGGTACGTGAGTGCGCTCAAGCGGGATGGTTCAGTTTGCGTAGCACAGAAACCGCCGCTCTCAGTCCTGGATTTACATGTCCTAGATCATGTGTTCTGTGCGATTGCAATTTACGTGCTATGGATTAACTAACCTAATGACGTGGGTACCCCGATTCTCTGTGAAGGAGAGCAAGTGAGGGATTTTCAGGTGATGTTTGGATGGGACGACAGAATTGGAAGTCTATCTTATTAACATCCCTCCCTGCGTGGCGGGACACCCTCCGTGGTGAGACAAATGAGGGGTAATTTACCTTCAAACAACTCGATTTCGGTCTACAGGTGAGTATATACAACAAATATTTCGGCCGTATACTATAGTTATTCTTCAGTGTCCAAAACCCCGCTTACCTAGAAATTAGATTTGTAGGGTTGTCTTTACGCTTAGCTGGTAAAAACCCTCCTTTTTATGTATGATTATGTTCCTTTGCTGCAGCAACACTATTCTAAACTCTTACCACTTATAATACTTGTAGAGAGGTTTTATGTTCACCTAAGAGACTTACAATAGCCTAGCAATTTACTACTATCCTATTGGTAGTTACTTCAAACTAGAGCGATTGCCAATCCTGGCTAGTGCAAAACAGCTCACAATGTAATTTAATCCAGTTACTTACAGCTGCCGCTAAGGGGGTTTGTGTCTTGGCAAGCGGGCTCAACCTTGGCTACTCTATGCCTACCCGTCAACCAAGTCACCTCTTACAGATTCGCCACGTCACAACCATGTAGCTGGAGCGGGTCGGCCGCCCTCCCTACTTGTGGTGGCGATATTTAGCACTAAACTACTTTTATTACCATTTGATATCCCTAAAGCATCCTTTCGCTGCTAGACCTGTTCAGCCAGAACCTGCAATCAGCCTCACGATCCCATCGCCCACCCACAGTGCAGTGCCATGGTTCTCGAAACCCGGAGGCTATCGTTTTGCCTTACAATTTCCATGTACAAGTTCCAATGATACCAAGAAGGATCGTGGCTCCAGTCATCTGCCAACTTGCTACCCAAATGTCCCCTAGATTTCCTTTAGGATTCCCCATAGTATCCCGAACAACAAGCTGGGAGGAAAGAATCCAACGGCGAGAACCCGCCAAATCTTGACCTAATCCCAGTCTTCCTCGCAGCAGATACCCCACGCTTCCGTTAGTTCGGAATACTGAGAGTGAAGTTCTCCACAGGTCCTTTTGGATGTTATCGTATAGCCAATGTGGCGCCTGACGCTATTCCATCAGGATTAGTGAAGAAGCCCATCATCTGCCAGCCTCCAATGGGTGGGGACAGTTTGGATGGTATTGGGTGGCACTCGTATTCCGTTCCTTTCAGGGGAACAAGGTCAGCCGCCGGAGGTATACGCTCGCAAGGCTTTCCAGGTTCGCAAATATTATCGTGACACCGCACATCAATATATCGAGGCCGCACGTAGGCGAACTGATTATTGAGGCATTAAAATAGTTCTGCTACCATCTTTCTTAATACAGGAACTGTAGCATACCTTCATATGGCGAATACTATGAACCGCTATAAACTTTCTGTGCTAGGTCCAAAGGCGGCCCAGGTACGGGGTCAGAGGAAACTCCAGAGAAAGTCTCGCTCGGGACGGTTGGTTCATGCCGAACAATTCGCTTAGGTAGTAGCACGACAAAACTTCGGAATTCTTTGCACAGTTTCTTGAACACATACCTCTCCTCGATAAAGTTTCGCCCTTGAGCCACTAGTCGAGCAAACTGTTCACCATTGCTTCCTCTGGCTCTTCGTCATCAGAGCTCATATCCATATACTCTTTACTTGGGAAGTTTTCCGCTCAAATACGGCTAGAAACAAGGCCTTTCTCTTGAACAGAGGATTTGTTGACATTATTCACCTGTCGCGCCTGTGTTGGCTCTTCTTTCGTAGCATCAAGGATTCCGCCCTATATCCTTACAAGCACCAGCCCGAGTATTCCAGCAGCCACCAAACCGGCTTTCAACGAGACAAGATTTGCCAATTCGAGATCAACAGAATGCCGAACTTCCTCCTTTAGGTCTTGCGAGAACGCCTTGAACAATCTTTTAAAGTTCCGGTGGGGTCGCTCAGGGCTGATACGCTTATCTTCCATCGCTACTCTATATAGCGTTTTGAGTTCTCGGTCCTCCAGAAAGATGCTGACTAATTAATCAGTCGCCCTCTTCATCTCAGCGTGCGTGAGTAGGCTGTTTCTAGTAATTGCAATCGAGAGCGTGGTCTGCAGGGAGAAAAGTACGGATACTGGAGCAGATATGTCGTCTGAAATTTCGGAGGTAGATATGACCTGGATGTCATTCGCTCTCCGCCCGAGCAGAAGCGTCATCACTTCTTTTCCGCTACTCCAATTCTCCCGATGAGAACAGAGGGTAGCTACTTATATGTAGAAAGAAAGTGCATTATTCGAACCCCGAACTGAGAAGCTGAGTTAGTAGTCGTTTGGGCGTAGCAGGTCAAAGGGAAAAGCCATGGACCAGCCTTGGCACATGGCGCAGGAAAGGCAGAGTCAACCGAGCATATCACTACTTCAAACATGGAGCAGATCCATTATATGTCCAAACTGGGCTAGTCCATATAGTAAATCATAGAGACAGAACAGGGTATCAAGGCTAACATTACAGTTTCTATACATGTGAGAATGGAATTGCTGCTGGAGCATCTCCGGTCTCGATCACGAGAGTAAATTACAGGGGCAGGTATCGATGGAAGACTATGCTAGACGCTGGGTAATCGGTAAAGGGGTTTGGACAACGCTCTTGAATGGAATGATTGAAATGAAATGCAAGTAACGAAACTGCCCAGACAATAGATATGCTAATGAGACAAAATTACGCATACTCCGGTGCATTTGAATGACTGTTGTACAGGAGTCCTGTAGCTCTATCTCCGACCATTCCTAGTTCCGTGACGGTTTGGATTCTGATTCCTAGTTGACCTGTGGGTATCATGTCTCGGGAGCCCCATCTCCTCGTCTGGAACGCGATCCCTTCGACTTGAATATGCGGGGGCCGGTCGACGAACGTCATCGTGGTGGCTATCGTAGGAGGGCGGCCTTGAGTCCATGTCATCGTCAAAGTCCTCATACACGGTGGCAGGAGCAGATCTCCTTTTCAGCTTCTTCTCCCGTATCTTTCTATCCTCGTCGTCGATGAGTTGCTGTGGTTTGTAGACGGCGTCAAGCCGTTTCTCTAGTAATCGGACATTTCGAGAGTTGCACTTCATTGCCGCGTCGGCGAGATCGCCGACAAATGGAATCAACCCAACAAGGAAGTCGAGGATCAAGTTCAGATACATTCGGCTTTTAATGCCGTCGAGGCCGCACTGGACTTTGTCCATTTTTTCGATGAGGCGCCAAGCGAAGAACCCATCGAGGACGTCGCCCACAGCAGGAACGAGGCCAATCACTGCAGACCAGCCAAATCGAATGCCACAGAAGTTGAAGAGGCACACATCGAGCATGTATGCCCTTCGGCGGGCGTTGGCGAGGATATCGGCGTCTTCGGCAGGGATGTAGGCGGGAATTTGCTTCTTGACTTTCTTCTTTTTGCCCTTTGGAGTTTCGATTGTCTCGTAGAATGGGTCCTAGTAGGTGGTGTGAGAAGAGTTCAATACAAATATTGAAAATGTGGATTTTTTATATATTTATTTTTATTTTTATGTGGCAAAGTACCAGTTGAGCGATTTGTTGACAGTGGGGGGATGGTGGAGCTTAGAGACAGAAATTGAGGGAACTGGGCATGAAGACTTACATAATCCGTAACGTTCTTCGACTTGTACTTGTCCATCTCCTTGTTCAGCAGCTTCTTCGCTGCATACTTGGCTACCGCTTGCGTCATACTGTCGGGGGATGTGGTCGATGGGAAGAAAAGAGTAAATTGATTAGTTAGGCGAGGAGAGTTGATTTAGATGCAACTGAATGCTCCGAGAGGCTTCTTTATATATTTGTTCTTGAGACAATGCTCTGTTTACGACTTTGGGGTGCGGCTCTGGGAAGGGCTAAAAAGCAAGCTGGTTGGCCAACGAAGCTTCGTTCCAGAAAGTCTGAAACGGGCGGCTCGCCGCTATGAATAGAGGACGAGTGCGATTGCTGCAAACGAAAAGCAACAAGTGTAAAGATGATGAAAGAGAGGCGAGAAGCGAACAGGCGAGGGGTGAGCTTTTATTGAAGTGTGGAGAAGCTAGCGATGCAGTCTTGTCATGCCCTGATTTGAGCGTCGCATCACTCTGTGGATGAGACGTCATGCTCAGACCCAGACGGATTTTAGCGATGCGCACAGCCACGGCGGAAGTGCCACAGACGCCACAGTTGCGGCACAAGCGTCGCTCCTGCCGGTCCAACCACGACGCTTTCCACCTCTCACCCTCCCACTTGCAGCCTTCACCCACACCACAACACCCCCTCACGTGCTGTATTCTTTCACTGATAGCTTGCGCGGCTGTGTACCCAACTCCCTGATCGCCGAGATCCAGAACGTTCGCTCCCCGCGCGCAGTGTCGCGCCAGCTGTCACTCTCTCCACGCGCACCTGAGGCGGCATGCTGCTGCAAGACACCGGCCAACATGACCTCCTTAGACACCAAGATGCGGCTAGTTGACTGGCTGGACGACCTCTGCGTGCGCTTCATTATCAACCTGCCGCACGAAGAACTGCAGTCGGTGGAGCGCATCTGCTTCCAGATTGAGGAGGCACAATGGTTCTACGAGGACTTCATCCGCCCGCTGGACCCCAGTCTGCCATCGATGAACCTGCGCAAATTCGCCATGCTCATGTTCCAGCACTGTCCGCTGTCGTCGGCCTACTCGGAGCTGCACCACTCCCAGGCCTACGAGGATTTCCTCGCGTACAAGACCCGCGTGCCGGTCCGCGGCGCCATCATGCTGAACCAGGATATGACACAGGCGGTGCTGGTCAAGGGGTGGAAGAAGGGCGCCAAGTGGAGCTTCCCGCGGGGGAAGATAAACAAGGGCGAGGCGGACTTGGACTGCGCGGTGAGGGAGGTCTATGAGGAGACCGGCTTTGATCTGAAGCAACACGAGGGCCTGGTGGGCACCGAAGCGGATACGAAGAGCATCACCGTGGCCATGCGGGAACAGCACATGAAGTTGTACGTGTTCCGCGGCGTACCCATGGATGCGCACTTTGAGCCGCGCACGAGGAAGGAGATTTCGGTAGGTTGAGAATGGTAGAGGCTGCGGTGCACGAGGCTGACAGGTTGTGTGCAGAAAATCGCATGGTACAAGCTCGGCGATTTACCCACCCTCAAGCGCAAGAACCAGGCACAGCAGGGAAACGGTGCCGATCTGCTCAAGGACAACATGTTTTATATGGTGGCGCCCTTTTTGGGCCCGCTGAAGGGCTGGATCAAGCTGCAACACAAGCTTGATAAGCAGAGGGCGAAGGCCGGCGCGACTCTGGCCCCTCCAGTTCCTGCCGGCGAGACGGACTTGGAGGAGGCCGAAGTCAATGACAATGCCCAGGGCGAGACGACCGCAGATGAAGCAACTATTGCACAACCAGAGACCGCTGACACGACCTTCGCTGACCTTGTGGCCCAGCTTGGCAGAGGCCACCGCTCAAGTGATGCCCTGCCCGAGGTCTCTGCCCAGCCGCAACCGCCGCAGATACTGGATCCTGCTGCAGAGCTCAAGCGACTGCTGAGCGTAGGAGCTGCTGCACTGCCTCTCCAAACACCGCCTGTGGAAGCACCCGCGCCAGTTCAGGATCAGCAATCCCACCCCCTCCTCGCCATGATTCAGCGCAGCAAACCTACTGGGCTCCCCCCTCCAAGAACTCCGCTCGACCAGATCATGTCCCCCCCGCCAGTACCCCACAGTCCGCACGGCCAACACCATCCCCGCCCCACCCCCCCTCACCCCGACCATATGCCTCCTCCGCCAGCATTCCAATTCCCACTCCAGCAGAATCTGCCCTACCGAGGACCCCAACCTCCCCATGTGCCTCCCCATATGCCCCCCCAACATCCCAATGCCCCGCCTATGCAGATACCGCGACAGTTTATGCCTCCCCCGCCTCGCCACCCAAACCCCGTCTTTCAGGCCCACGCGCCGAATATCCAGCAAGCGTTTAGCCAGCAGGCACCGCGGCCGTACCAACGAACTGGAGATCCTCAATTTGCCCAATCCCCGCAGTTTCCTGGTTTGCATGGCCCTGCTATCCCGCCTGCCTCAAAGTTGCCTCCACCAAAGCTCACCGCCCATGCGTTGGGATTGCTGAATGCATTCAAAAGCCACGAGAAACCCACGCCGCCAACACCCCAACATCCCTCTCATCCTGCGCCAAGCTCTCAGGCCACGCCGAGAATGCAACAGCTGCCCGCTCTGCACCCTACCGTTGATCCGTTCTCGTCACCGCGAGCCCCGCCGAGTGCGAATCTGTATGCACCAAGCCCACCACCCTTCAGGTCTCCGCCGCCTAGCGCCAACTTTCAGCCTGCTCAACCGAAACCCAGGAGTGCTCACCAGGACAACTTGCTCAATCTCTTCCGCTCGCCTTCCGTATCTGCCGCTACCCCTCCTCCACCGAAGATTGAGGCTCAGCCCGTGGAACTGTCAGCCCACCCAACTCCCGGTGTTATACGATTACAACCAGCATCACATGACGCCGCACCACCACGACCTGACCTGACCATCAAGCCTAACCTACTTGAGGCATTTGGGCAGCGGCCACGGAAGCCAAGCTTGACCTCTGCGACGATCAGCGGACCGCTCAACGCCCCCGACTTTGAAACTGTCAAGAAGAGTTCGCTTCTCCATGATATCAATGGCCATGGCCATCATGGTCACGGCCATGAACGAGGGATCTCGCCTGGCGGGCGAAAGAGTGTGGAGCAGAAGACGTTCATTCCAATGCAGATTTTGAAGCGAGAGCACCCAATACCAAGCAACAAGCCCAGTCCTACTGAAGTTGCCGAAGACCGTGCCCGGATTAGTCCGAGGACTATATCCAATGAGACCACTCCACAAACAACCGCCTTCAAGCCGCAGATCCTCCGTCGACCTCAGCAGAACGCGTCTCCAGTTCCAGCATCAGCACTGGGTCCTGCTCCCCTCCTACATGCTGGAATCGGCGTAGGCGGTAGCTATGTAGCTCCGCCAATTGCTCCAGCAGCCCTGACACGCTTTCCGGCCGCACCTGGAGCGCATGGCGCCTTCGACCGAAGAGAGACATTGCCTTCAGAACAAAAGAGCGCATTACTCTCTCTCTTCGGAAAACCATCGCAAGTCAAATCGCCCTCCCCCTCCCCCCTTCCAGTTGTTGGTCCAGCCCACGAACCCCCTCCTGCATCTACTAGCCTACCAACCCTACCATCCAAATCTCCCTTTCCCAGAAGTCCCCAACCGCCAACGCCAAAGACAATGATGTCCGGCGTAATCTCCCCGGTAAGCCCGCTCCCCGAAAAAGGAAGCCAGCAAAACAGCCCCGCGAACCTTGCCTCCCGATCCCGGATATCGTCGATTGGCGAGACAATGCCCCCCACCATCGTCATCCCGCAGAATGGCCCTGGTCCGACGAGTCACCCAAGTACCTCAGTAAGCCAGAAAAATGGGTTTGGTAGTGCCGGCGTGGGTGTCTGTGTGGAAAGGGAGGAAGGGTATATTAGCGCTGAGTCTGTTGGAGCGGGTCTCGTAGACAAAGGGAAAGGGAAGAAGGATGAGGGCAAGAGCCCAGTGGATAAGACGTTTTTGCTGGGATTTTTGGAGGATGTGGCTAGGAGAGGACGGTAATTTTGGGGGGGTTCCTTGGGTTAGGTTCGGGCCCTTGGGGTGCAGAATTGTTCCATTATCTTTGGGCGGGGATGAGGCCTTTCGGTGTACTTTTTCAGTGTGGTTAGATGATAGGATTTCTGGTTTCTTGGAGTTTTGTACGATTGTGATGATGGAGTGTGTCTGGGTGGACAAGATGGCTCATCCTCAACAAATGGGGAAAGCAGCTCGCAGATCAATTCAAGAGCTGTGTGAGGAAATTTCAACATTCATACTCCTACCATACTCCTCCCAACCCCATTCCTCCCACAACACCGTCTCCCACCAGTCTGTCATTCCTATCTACTACAAAACTACTCCCTCAAAATCTTCGCCCTAGCTTCATCTGGCGGGCTAATATTTTCTCCCTAGTAGTCCACACGAAGTCCCCCCTCACTTTTGACGGGAAGGCGTTGAGAGGGATAGAGCAAGAACATCCCCCACACCACATACATCAACAAACTTCGGCAACACGCGCGTCATCAAGAGTTCGTCGACTTCAGGGTCGTCATCAATGATGACTTCACGCGGACAGATGATATGGAAATCGAGATCTGCCCCCCCCTCGCGCACTCCCAAGGATACTGCCCATGGTTGTCAGCCCAATCAGGACGATGTGCCGGATCCCTCGCGCGTGCAGGTATTTTAGCAGATCAGACGATGCGAAACAATTTGGTTGCAGCTTTCCCAGCACGATCTCCTCCTTGGTGCCCCAGCCCCCTGGTGGGGTTAGGGAGGTAGGAATGGCATAGTTGGGGCTGTGTGGGTTGGAGGTTGTGGACTGCACGAGGGTTAGTGATATACAAATATAGGGAGAGGCAGGTATGGAAATCCTGTAAAGAGCATTGGCAGTGGAGATATGGGAGTGGTCAACGTATGGTAAATAATCCCTTTTCTTCGAGCTCAGCAACCCATTTCGCAAGTTTATTGTACGGACTCACAAACGCATTCCCGTTCACTCCAAAAGGAAGCGTGTGGTGGATGATCAATGGAATGCCGTCGAAAAGCTCACTCCCATCTGCAGAACTACGGCCTCTGGCTGCTGTTATCTCGCCGCGGAAGAAATCTAACAGCCTTTGAACGTTTGCTAGATACGCATCTTGTGTTTCTTTAGGAAAGCGCGCTAGGATTTGTGTCTGAACGTCGGATAGTAGAAGTGCTGTTTTGGAGACATTGATAGGGATGTAGAATGGTGAGGAGTTTGTCGTAGGCTCGGTGGTGGGAGACATTTTGGATGGCGGGGCGGGGAGTGAAAGAAGGAAAGAAACTTTGACGTAAATTGAATTTGGATATTCTTTCTTGTAGTGAATGAGGTATATAAGATAAACTTTCGAATATTTATAGTCCCTTGTTGTTTACTCTTTGATCCGCTTTCTTTACTATGGGTGGTTTAGTCTAGTTCGGATATGTATATCGGAGAAGTCGGCATTCGATCTCCGATTCGACCACCCGAGCCTAATGCTCCTCAGCATGCTGAGTAGCTTCCATGTTGCATTGCTAGTGATAACAGCAATTAAAAAACGTCTCCGCGGAGAACGAAAAAAGGGGAAATTAACAATGTAACAGTAGTGCAAGTTACGGTTATCTCAGGGGAGGGGAAGAACGTGGAGGAAGAACGTGTCATCGAACACGGCTTTGGTCACGCTAAGCGTTTCTGCATATCGCAAAGGAACCGGACCCTATCCTTCAGGCCAGACAACTAATTTACAAGTTTATTGTACAGGTGTTTCGGAGGAGTTCAGTTCATAATACAACCGCACTTGACTTCAAGGTCAACGCTCACTCTTTCGTAAGCCGAGTTTTATTCTCAACCATGTTTGCGACATCGTCTCGTCTTTTCTTGAAACATTGGTCTCCATCCACGCCAATAATACTTCATAGAATCCATGTAGCGCATCCAAAGGAAACTTTCTAAGAAACCAACAGTCAGGCCCATAACTTTATCTGAATTCGCCATTTTTTAAGCCAGGGTTCGAATCAGGGGTAAGTCGGGTGGACCGTGTGAGTTCGTCTTTGCGTTGCCTAACAACCACGAAACCATTCCAGACGTGGATATCAACAAGTAAACCGAGCTTCTCAGAGGATATAATTATTTCTTGCGTCTAAAACTTCACGTCACACGCCGCATAGTTAAATTAGATGGGGGTACTAGGGGGATGAGGGAATATTCATTCGATAAACTATGAAGGCACAGCAGGAGCTACTACTAAAGAGATTACGGATATAGTTTACTTTTTTTTTATTTAATCTATTACATCAGCCGCCAGGTGTATGAAGAAAATTGAAAATATTCTCCAATGTGATATTACAGGGAAAGGAGGAAGCCTGCAGGAATGTTCAAATAGGACTGTAAGATGACATCTTTTACTAGTAGTGGTCGTGACCTTAACATTCCATTCAAAAAAAGGTTTATTACGTAAATCCGGCATGGAGTATAGACGATTCGATCGCGATAAGAAGCCAGCATCAACTCAACATGTATTATGGGTCTCCCCAAAGCCTTCTTCCCCCATCCCACCAAAGGGAACGTCTTCACCCTGCATTATGTAATCGGATTCCGTGAGCATTTCAGGATTGGGATCCATGGGGCCCGAACTAAACCCGAGTCTCACGTCGGAGGTGTCAGAGGGACTCATATTTGGCTGATCAATGGTGTCGTTAAATCTGAAAGTAGGGTCATTAAGAGGTGCCAGCTCTTGATTCTCCCATGTGAACGAATCGGTTGTTGGTAGAAGGTTTAGCAGTTCGTCCAGTGGCAAATTGCTGTTTCGGTTTTCCACTGTTCTCGAAGACGAGATTGCCGATAAATGGGAAAGATCTGAGAAAAGGGTGGCTCGGTGGGGACGTTGGGTTTGGCGGCCTGCCGGATAGCGCATATTGAAAGTTGGGGATGGGATCGGGAATGATGCTGCGGAATATCCAAGTGGTGGTCCGTTAGGAAGCTCATCTACGCACATATTTTGGGGAGCCTGGATTATTGAACAGTCCAGCGTCTCAGAGCGGCGCTTACATGGTCGGAGGTGAGAATCCGCGTCTCCATCATCTAAAGGTTGGAGGTTCATCTTTGGTCCGGCGGGGCGACATCTATACCGAGCTCGTCCCACAGGCGGCGCTGGAAGCTCATTTTGTTGCTGTTGGAACTCCGAAAAGATCTCTTCGCGACATTGACTCGCGATTTGGGCCAACTCTTCCCTCAGAGCCTCTTCGATCTCCAATCTCTCACAGAGCGATTCAAGCCTTTGCCGTACCCTACGGGGAAACTCACGTCTTGAGAAAATTTCGAAGTCATCGAGCTCGCTTCCTTCCAGCGGCTCGACGAGGTCATCGCAATCTGGTTGGAATGAGCCGATTTTGCAACTTCAAGCACTACTCACCAAGAAGGGGAAAACTTACAAGGAGAAACCGACATCACGGGCACGCTTGGGAACAAAAAGTGATACACTGCTCTCCATCTCTCTTCTTCGGTTTTCTCTGAGCCAAACCTTTTTTTGCTCTTGAGGCGGGCTATTTGGGTTACACTGAGCCCCTGGGGAGATGAATTCGAGCTGACCATACACGGCTGGGGAAGCCTCTGATGGTTTTCTAATTCATCTTCGGTTTGAAAGATTTTATGGCACCTTCTGCAGTAGATCGAGACATGGCACCTGTAAAGATGTTCCCTTGTTCGGCGTTAGTCGCGGTTTGCAAGAGTTATTAGTGAATCGTACTTCATTCGGTGAACGCCTTTGAACCCTGGGTATCGGCACGCCCTTCCTTTATGCTGACGAGGGCTATGTTTAAAGAAGGGGCAAGCGAAACGGACAATAGGTGCTGGCTCAGCATCTGGGACATTGTTTGTCTTATTCCGGCGCCTCTGGGAATCTCCATCGTCCTGGTCACCGCCATCTTCATCCTTCTGCCAACCTTTCCTGTGTTCTGTCGATGAACCTTTCCCCGCGCCGCTTTCGTTCGGTTGAAGTGTACTTTGCGGAATTGCTGCAGTTGCGCTGTCATTCGAACCACTTTGTGTTCCAGTGCAAGTGCGCAAGTCTGGCGAAGAGTAGAGAATGACATGGAATTCCTTCATTAACTTGTCAATGAACCTGGACTTCGACGATGACAAAGAGTCCGCGAGGAATTCACCGGATGACTCCTCTCCGGCATCTGAAGAAACCAAGCTAGAGGAGTCTTGGCTTGAGAAAGAGAAGTTTGATGAGCTGTGGGAAGAGGGGTATTCTCTACGGGAGTTTTGACTGATGGAAGATTGGCTCGAATCGTCCCCACTCGGGAAGCTGCTTATAGAAGAGAGCCGCGAAAGAGATTCCTCCTCGGATGATTCTTCATCGTCGTATTTTGGAGCCAAACTGCCGGAAGCACTATGACTATTCGTTGCGTAGTAAATGAGTGGGCTTGAGTCTCCGACCTTGTTGTCTAGCATTCGTGAGTTGGGAACTTCATCGAAGTTTGAACTACTCTCCAACTTTATCAGATCGTAGGTCGACAGTGCTGATGAGTATTTATAGGGTCTTTCCGCGAGATAAGACCGTCCAGAAGTCTGGAAAAGGCTGAAGATACTAGAAATATGAGGGATTAAGGAAGTGTCGGATTTGGTAAATCTCATACTTGATGAGCGCGAGATGTTGCCGGCCCATTTGAGGAACCGTGAGATTTCTCCGCGCTTTTTACGCTTGAAGAGCGGCTTGCGCTTGCGCTGCCGAGAACCTTTTAAAGGCGGAGGCGAAGAAAAGCCCATTGAGGATAGAAGTGGGCGCGGAAATGGACGTTTTAACGTCAATGGATGCGGAATTCCTAGCATTGAGCACACATCCCAGACTAGAAGTTCTAAGACATGTGGAATGGTAATCTCTCCATTAGGAATGACCAGGTCGGAGCGACTGTGAGGGCCACTGACATGTATATGCAGAAAGCCTTGCTTGGTCGAATATGGGGTACCGGATGTGGGCCACATGCACATGGTAATGGCCCAGTCCGGGCTGACCAGGAGTTTCCAGACTTGAAGAATAACAACCTCTCCGTTATGACCAATGAAGTAAGAGAGATCTAGCCTATTACGGCGAATAATATTAACATTCCATAAAGGATGCTGGATTAGTTGGTCCATTTTCTCCCGGGCATGGCGTTGCTCCCAAGAGGAAGGCAATTTGGTGCTAACTGCCTTCTCAAATTTAAGCCTCGGGGTATCGCGTGGCGTTGCCTCCGTCAACTGTTTAACTGAAGTTTTCTTCGAAGCCAGGGGGGGTAGAGAATGAATGGAGCAAAGAATCCAGGAACGGTAAACGGGAAGTGAAAACGGTGGCAGAGAAAAGGTATCGGGGCATTGAGGGAGAGAGAGATTTGGAATCTTGGCCTCGCCATCCATCGTGCTCCGGTCGAGGTAATCAGACGAGTTCCTTAGGCGAAGGTGATGATATTGTGGGTCGCGAGAGGCTTATAGTATCAACAGATCTAGGCGCCTCTGTTTAGCAAGGAGGACAGAAGAACTCGGGATTTGGATTCGAGTGTACCTTGAGGATGGGAGCCGAGAGTCGCTGCTATCAGGAGTGGGCGCAGAAAGTGGACGCTGTAAATTCAGACCTGAGAAAATGAAGGTGACGAAGAGAGGCACCGTAACTCGATGAGTAACAGAAGGGGACGTGAATGGCTATTTCTCACCTTGATCTGAGAATCGCGCAACTGCGAGTTGTGAGCCAATGGCTTGACTTGGCGCTCTTTCAGCCTTCCTTCAGCCTTGCACGTGAGGAGGTGAGGTGGCTCCAGCCAGGCACACATCATATGCCAGTGATTTTGAGACTCTACAAGCCAACCATGGTGTTCAAAAGAAGTCAATATCTCGGCTTAAGCCCTCATCTGCACTCCTATCGAATCCTTGTGATCTTTTCTCATCTTCCATTTCTTAAATAAACTGCCTGCAGTAGTTCAAGCCGCAAGCAGGCTGAAGAAGGTTGAAGAACAGAGGGGCTGAACTAATCGGGGCAGTGATTATACCAAGAGGATCAATGATTAAGTGGCGTCGGTGGTGAATGATCTTGGGGGGGATGATGATGCTGACTAATCCTCGTAGGTGTCCAATCACTTCCTTTCCACGTGGCTTCAAAGATTGGCTGTGCAATTAACCTCATGATGGATATCTGCCGACGTGATAGACAAGGATTATATATTAGCGAGTGGAGACTAAGCGCGACCCCCATTTGCAAATCATTTATCTAAATATTAGTGTATAATTCGATTTGTTGGGGTGAAGTTGGAGAAGGCAAAGACGTCTGAAATCTATGTTCTGTGGAGAATGACTGTTACACAATCATCTCGTATTGTTTTTTGGCTTGAACGGGCCGGAGAGATGGTTTGCTAATTGCCGAATAGTGGATACAAGACGTCTATTTAGGTGCCCAAGTATTCTCCAATTTGAATAGGAATTCAAGTACTCTCACACGATTGTGAGGAGAGAGGTCAAGCAACTACCAGCATGTCGTCCTTCATCTTCACTCTCGGTCTCCTCATCTCCTCCGTTCACTCAGTTACTGCCCGGGGCTGCACCACCGATGGCCTTCTTAGGTATGCAGCTGAATACGTCGAGTCCCTCCAAACCGGGAAGCTACACGCCGACTTCGCCAGCACCACCTACTGGGAGAACAACAAAACCGTCTCGACCACCGGACCGCCGCTAAAATGGGGTGGCCTCAAAATCGACCACAACCGCACCATCGTCGACCAAGAGCAATGCGCGACGTACACAGAGATCATTTCGACGAGTCCAAGTCCGGGGTATGTTATTGGGACGCAGATTCGTATGTTGATTCATCCCGAAGATGGGTATACGCCGACGCTGGTGGATTCGATTGTCACAAGTAAGGGGGATTGGCAGTTCAATGCGAGTAAGTCGCTCTCACTCGTTACGGGGGAGAATTGGGATACGTTGCCGACGGAGAAACGCGTGGACCGCATTACCCTCGAAAAGGCAGCGGATGCGTATCTAGATCTTTGGACGAATAAAAGTGCGGCCGTCCCGTGGGGATACCCGTGTGCGAGGATGGAAGGTAGCGCGTATACAGCGAAGGGTAAGCCGGATGATTCGTGTAGTGTGGGGATTCCAGCCGGAGGTCAGCCGGCGAATACGGATAGGAGGTATGTTACAGATGTGACAGTCGGAAGTGTGAGTGTACTGTGTAAATTTGGGAGTATGAAGAGTGGAGCACCCGACAGTCATGAGTTCAGGCTGGAGAGTGGGAAATTGAGGTACGTGCACACGATGACAGTTATGACAGCGAAATGAGAGAGGAGAATAAGAGCCAAGGATGTGGATGATATGTAAGATCAAGAGCAATAGGAATAGTTGTTGTGGTTGAAATACTGGGCAGGTCCTTTGCATTGTATTTTTCTTTGGGCCCAAACCACCTCTTATCAGCCTACAGGATAGGCTCCATCAGCTCTTTCATACTTGTAACGTGCTTCGAGTCCACCATGTTGTGTTCCACGAGCTTCTGAACTACCCGCACACACCAATTTTGGCAGTTCTCTTTAATCTCTTTCCGGTTTGGAGCATGTGGTGGAGGTTCCAGTTCAGCAATTTCCTTGACCTTTCGAGAGTCTTCTAAGTTCATTTTCGTAAGACTATAAACAGAGTGCAAGTCGGGCAGCAGCGAAACCGGGACATATTCGGTGCAAGGATTGAAGTACATGCTCTCTGTGTCGCCTCGAACCTCTAAAATCGCTGTGAAGTTGATATGCCCACCCTGAGTAGAATTATGGTGTTCTTTTACGGGGACAAACTCTTGTGTGGGAGAAATAGCGAGGGCCCAGTGCAGTGGTTCTTCAGGCGATTGGTAATACCGCACTAGGTATAGGGTCAGGTAGGCCGCGTCCTCTGCAGTGAGAGATTTAGCTGGTGGAGCAGATTGAATTGGTTTCCAGATTACGGTTCCCTTCCGCCGCTTGTAGGTCACTCCATTGGTCGTCTTAAATTCTGTGAAACCTGCGGTCGTGATGACTTCTGGCGAGTCTGAATTAAGTGCGTCCATAACTACCTTCAATAGAATTCACCAATGTTTGACAGCGGGATTAAAAAGTTTCGCTTCAAGAACTTCGATATGAGCCCAGTGATTAGTGCGGCGGTGAGGAGAAGAGTTTTCGGAGTGCTGCCAAGATAGATGAGTCAGCGATGGCTGACATAACGTGTTCTACTACTCATCCGCCAACACTAGTCATCCGCCAACGCCAAAAACCACCAAAAATGACAAAAATTGCACCTTAAGATCTCAACAACACCTTAAACAAACGACTTGAAACCTTTGATATAGTCTTTTTTGCCTCCCTAGAGTACGTTATATACGTATAGAAGAAATCTATATCATAATACTTAAGATATTAGATTTTAGCCTGATTCTAGCCCCTAAATCTTTACTTATTAACAATAGCTTAAGTATAAACTCTAGGGCTCAAATATAAGTCTCGTGAGAGGTATAAAGAGGTAATATTAAAAATTTAGTCCTTTCTGCTCTGCTGTTGTTGAGATCTTAAGGTGCAATTTTTGTCATTTTTGGTGGTTTCTGGCGCCAGCGGATGAATAGTGTTGGTGGATGAGTGGTGGAATACGTTAACGTATTCTATCAGTAAGCTACGTATATAGAACCTAAGACTCGAATATATGTCTGAGAATGGATATAAAAAGCTAATGTTACATTATTAGATTTTTCTGCCTAGCCGTTGTCGAGATCTTGAGGCGCGATTTTCGCAATTTTTGGTGGGTTTTGGGTTCCGCAGCTTACTGATAGAATACGTTACTCAATTAATTGAACCACTCATTTCGGTTAGCAATTCTGCATTCTAAGTCTGACCAGCACGCTCTCGATACGCCTGAACAAAAATCCCTTTCCTTATAAATACACCACCAGCAATGTCCTGGGTACCAGCGATGAATTGTTAGGTCACGTGGTTATGGAAATCGTCCCCTAAGGTTAGTTAACACGACATTTGTTATGGTACAAGCGGATACAGCTTGCTGATTGGGGCCAATTGCTCTCAGCATCACTTTCACTTTTTTACTGTCCCCTCTACAGTAAATACCATCTACCCTGGGTATCACCTCCAATACCTACATCCTAGCCACCAACATGCCGTTTAACGACGAAGAGCTAGCGGCGACTCTAGCAATAAATAATACGTACATAGGTCAACTGGAATGAAACCGATAGCCTCAAAGAGTTGCGAGAAGCGCGCCCCTGGAATTGTTGACTCCCTGTTCCTCTTCTGCATTCAGTTCACACTAGTAAGCGTTAGGGTTGCTCTTGGATTCCTTTATGTCTCCTTACAACTACCTGTTTTGCCAAGGATGTTTGCGGTTCTTGTGAGACTCCTCAAGCCAAAGCTGGCCACCCCGTCCAACATTCCAGTCTAAGTCAAACACTATCATAACCGATCGCTAGGAGCAGTTAAAGCTTCTTTCCTCCTAATATTCACCATAAACACTCCTATGACTTTGTCCTTGTCCTAGCAATCACTGTCGCAATTTTAACGCTTGCTCATCATGTCTACTACATCTACGCAACGTTGTCAATACCTCGTTCCACTCCACAAGCCTCGGACGACACCCCAGCCTTGGGCGATAGGACTACAACTGTGTCCGATATCGTACCCGAGAGATATTTTATACATGAAAAGAGAGTTCTTTGGCCAAGGGGACTCCGCTGGTTGTCGTTCTCAATACTGTTACGATTACAAACGTGTACGAGTCTAGTTCAGTGTCAGAGAATGAGGACGAGATTTCCTCCACCAAGACATCCAAAGGCACTACGGCCCCGAAGCCAGTGTCACCCTAAATGGCCTCATTGAGGAGGACAGCTATCAACATGTCATTCCTCAACGCCACGAGTACGAACCGCCACCTTACCCCAAATTCCTTTACCCAGCATTGTTTTCAGATGCCGCTAGGGCGCGAACGGCTACAACCCCCAAGCCACACACCATGGTAATGGATTATTCTTCGAGTGATAACTGCACCTGTATGAGAGTCTATGTCGTCCAGATGTGTGGGATATTGCTTTCGAGCAGTGTTAGAAGCAGCGTTAGTGGACTGAGAGGTACCAATTTTGGCCTTGCCATATGGATCATATATCATTCGGTTACGACGGCCTGGAATTTGGTCTTTTCCCAGAGTCTCATGGGGTTCTAATTTTGCACCATGAAGAATTACTTAAAGATTTAGACAAGGTAGGCCCTTTGTGGAAGATAGCCTACTCGAGGGTTTTCAAATACGTTTCTCACCATCCCCCTAGCTTAGGAGGAGGCCCTGATATAGAGTGCATATCAGGAAGGAGTTACAGATTCGGCTGGTAGCGTTGGTAACATGACTCAAACACGACCACGTTTAGGTTTAGGTTTTGTCTTCACAGTTTCTTGCTTTAGTTTCAAGGCGGACTGTGCGATTATGGATACATCTGATTTTAGGCGCCGTGGAGCTTTGCACGGGAATTCTTAAGTTTAGAGCTGGAGCTTGGATAACGGAGTCTCTTTTTGGATTTTCAATGTGGTTTGTACAATCATAGATGCATCCAATTTTGTGGGACTGTTGAATTTTGAAAGGATTTCTTGAGGCTTAGTTTAGAATCTGGGTTCCTTACATATTTTATATAGATGGTATGATTGATTGTGGGTGAATTCTTCGCTCGGGCTTTGTTCGGAGTTTAGCTTCCTTGTCTTTAGACCCTTGTCGGACAGTCAAGGACTCTTTGGAAGGCTCTGGATGTATTTAAGATGTTAAAATGAGGGTTAGTATATCTATTATCCGCGATGAAGAACCTCTCCAAATTCGTAACGCCCAAACCCTCCAGAGTCCATATTCCAACCCGGAAAAGATCCCTTCCAAGAACCTTCCCTCTCCCACATTTCCTTCCCAACTCTGAAATCTCCAACGCTTCCTCATTGGTTTGAATCTCCCTCTTCCCACACCACAAACATCCGCCACAGTCTTTTCCGCAATCCTTTCCCTTAACTCCCTACTCTCAACCCTAGCCTCCTCCAAATACCCGGGCAACCCCCACTCCTTTACAAACCTTTGCACCGCTTCTGCTGTACTTTCTTCCCATACCAGGTACTTATTAAACATCACTAGCATCCTTTCCTGCCGCTCTTCCTGCTGCAGACTCTGTTTTCGCGTATATCGTAACACGGTGGGAAACATAACGCAACTCGTAACCGCATGCAACACGTCTGATACACTTCCCAACTGATGGCCAATCACATGGCTAAGTCACATACGGATCTTCCATATCAGAAGAATCATCATAACTTGTCTAATACCAAGTTGGCACTCTGTGGTCCTTTTTAGCCATTTCCGCCGGTCGTGCTTCTTTTCGTCTTTTTGCAGTTCTCTATTAACCCCTTCACCAATGTCCTCAGCGCGTCTTTCATATGCGTGGACACTTCCAAGTTGCAGGCCTCGTTGCAGATGGTTTCCACAAAATGATCCAAAGCGAGGACGCCGGAACTTAGTTACAGGAGTTAGGGACTTGTGACCGCAACTTCGGGGTCTATGATGACTACATTCAGGAAGTGGCAAAATATTACAATCTGAAGGGCTTTTTTTTTGGAGGGGGAGGGTTGTGGCGCTAAAGATGTGGTTCTATTCACTAGCGCTTAGGCTCACGGCCAGAGGATTGAGGCTGTCTGCGATACCGCAGTCTTGGTCCATGAGATTTTCGATATTATAGGTGGCGAGGGAGAGAAGGTGGGAGAATGGAGTGTAGTTGTGCGATTTTACAGGCGACGGAGCACGAACTAGAGCCGATGCTGATTATGAATCGATGTGGGATCTGTAGAGGATGTGGGAGTGCCTTCTAACACAGGATTCCGTGGCGACGATTAGAGAGCCGAGTTGGTGTCATAGGTCTGTAATGATGGAGGTGTTGGTGTCGAGGGCCTTGTTGTGGAGGAGGACGATTGGCTGGCATTTCTAGGTGTTGAGGGTGGTAGAGATTCCTGAGATGGAGGCTATGATGAAGATGGCATGTTTATTGGCGCGTTCGAGGATGGGCGTTTATTGGATGGTGCCTTTTTTTGAAGTTGGCAGTAGGCTTCAGCTGCTATGGCAATGTGTTTAAAGGAGTGAGGCAGAGATATGATCTAAAAAGAAAGAAGACAAATGCCTATAGTCCAAGAAGACAAACCTTTGGATAGAACAGTAAATAGGAGTGTTTGCTGAAGACTAGCAAGGATCAAGTACGGCAGCCGGAGACTTCCTCGAATGACGAAATCTCAATCTAATGATACCTAGCTAGACTAAACGCTGATGCCCATTTAGATGCACAATTTTGCAATCGTCACCCTAAAGAACAAAAACTAGAACTAACATCTAAGCACGCAAATCTAAGGAAACAAATGTTCGAAACGGAAGTTCTAGGGCCCTTGCCCGGGCATCTACCTCATTTAGTAAAGGTAAATGTGCTTTATGCAGCTTTGACAGTCTGAAACCCTTTCCACCCATCCAACGCCTCTCGAATCTCAATAGCGTACTGGGGGATTCCACCTGTACCACAATTAGCAACCTCGGAAATATATCCAATTAATCCAACAAGCAAAACATGAAGCAGTTGACTTACCAGCAAAATTAACCTGCTCAAAAGCCTTCCCCGGCATACTCCCTCCCATGTACGTACTCTTAGTTGTCGGGAACAAGGTCGCATCACTCAGCGCATTAATCCTCTTCTTCCACTCCTTACTCGCTTCTTCTGTAGGATTAATATATTTTAGTCCTTCGCGCGTAACTTTACTGATGCAGTCTACGATCCAACGCCCTTGGACTTCGACAGTGGAGGGGCCGTTGGAGAGGAGGGTTGGCCCGTGTGGGCCGTAGAGGTGGAACATATTTGGGTAGCCTGGGAGAAGGTTAGTTGGGGAAGGGGGAGGAAGGGAAGGGAGAGGGGACAGGTACCGGAGACGGTAGTGCCGAGGTAGGTGTAGGCAGCTTTGCGCCATTCGTCCTTGATAGAGGTGGCGTTGATGCTGGACAGTCCCATGTTCGTCATGCCGCCAGTTGTGATGTCCTATTCCAATATCATTAGAAGGGTTTAACTCCGATTTTCTGTGGTGAAAGCTTACAAATCCAGTGGCTACAGCGATAACATCAAACTCATAATGGTCTCCATTCTGCAACTTGATTCCGGTTTCGGTGAACTCCGCAATCGGATTGTCCTTGATATCGATAACATCCACGTTTGCGCGATTAAACTCCTCGTAGTAGTGTTGCTCGAGACAGGGCCGTTTGACGCCAAAGTAATGTGGCATTTTGAGCGGGGCGAGGATGTCGCGCTTGCGTGCGTCGCCGATGCGCATTCGAACGTTTTTGGCCCAGAAGTTGTAGGCCTCTTGGTTGGCTTTTGCGTCGATAAGCATCTAATATATTTAGCATCGAACTGGGAAGCTATCACGCTTGGGTGTGACTGTACTCACATCTTTATAGTTCCCTAACCAGAATCTAAATCCGCCATGATTCCACAGCTTCTTATAGAAAGCCTCCCGCTCCTCTGGCGTATCATCGAAGGTATTCTTCTCATACATCCCGTAGAAAAACCCACCAAAGCACTTCTCCCGTAACTCGTAAAGACGATAATACCACTTCTTGTCCATATTTTGCTCTTCTGGTGTGAGATCCCGTTTGCCCATTGGGACCGCAAGATTCGGTGTGCGTTGGAACACCTTCATCTCACCGACATCTGGCCCGAGCTCTTGCACGATTTGAACTCCGGAAGCGCCTGTCCCGATGACGGCGACGCGTTTTCCCTTGGTTTCGACCCCTAAACGTACCATCAGCAGTGTTAGGGACAGGCGAACGATTAATACTAACCTTCTTCAGGCCAGAAAGATGAGTGATGAATAATCCCCTTGAATTTATCCAGACCCTTGAAGTTGGGAATATACCTCTTCGAAGCAAAACCGGCCGCAACAATCAAAAACTTGCTCTTAGCAAGTCTCCCATCTTGTGTTTTGACATGCCACTTCCCTTCATCAGTATGAAACTGTGCGCCAACAACAACAGTCTCGAACGAGCAGTCCTTGCTAAGATTTAGGACGTTGTCGACATGGTCGAAGTAAGCTCGAAGTTCCTTATAGTCTGGATAGTTGGTAGACCAGCACCAATCTTTGTACGTCTCCGGCCAGCTAAACTGGTACTCGGGAACCTCGGAATCAACGCGTGCCCCGGGGTAGCGGTTCCAGCGCCAAGTGCCACCAAAGCTGGTACCAGCTTCGTAGATGACAGCTTTGTACCCTTTCTCTCGGAGAGTTTTCAGGCAGAAGACCCCGCCTTGGTGGAAAGGTGGTTAGTATTAGCCAGCCAATGATTAGAATATGTGAGCTCACCAAAGCCGGCCCCGATAATTAGGGCATCGACGTCCAAGTCGTCGTTATACGGGTACTCGGTTCCCCGTCTGCGTGAGTATTCTTTCAACTCTGAGTGCATGTGGGTTGGAAGAGCCGGAGTGTCCTCCAACTTGTTTCCGTTTGAAGTGCCGTTGTTGTTCATGATGACAGTAGTGAATAGTGAGGTCATACGAGTGTCGAGTCTGGATAGCGACTATGAATATTCAGGCTTGTATACTTATACATGATCTCCCTTTCAATATTCATTTCTGATAGTTTGAACAGAACGTTGCTTCAGGGCCAAAAGGAAGGAGTAAAACGGAACCGGTACGAACATGGCGGACCCGCGACTGAGGTTGAAGCAGGGTTCGTAAGCTCGCCCATCTATTGTATGCAAAAATTGGGGCATTTCTTGGCGTACCTCAGATCTTTTTTTCCCCCACTAAAATTGTATGGGGTAATTAAATTTTAACAGAATTCTAGATATATTAACAAATTCTTCCTAGGAACATTATTAGTAAGTTAAAGCCTTAAGTTTATATAGAGATACTGTTCTTAGCGCTTTTTTTAGAGTAATAAGACAACAATAGGCCTAATTAGAGGGCTAGAGCAGCCCCAGCCCCCTAGAGAGCAACCTACCAGCCTATTCTACGCGAGCGAGGGCGCAGGGCCCGTTGGAGAAGCCTAAGGAGCCTGCTAGTGGTGATAAACAGAAACCAGCGCGTTGTTAGTTAATCTAGTGATAGGAGCAAGTAAAAGAAGCTTACTGTATCCTAGCGCCTACAAAGAGCAAGCCTCCCTCTAAGAAAGTAGTAAAAGCTACTAAAAAATCTGCTCCTTCTGCTCTAGCACAGCAAGAAGCTGTTTCTGTGGTTCCTGTCTGTTGTCCTGAGCCTGATACGCTGGAGATGCCATGGGCGCGATACATCGTGACCTAACGCGCTGTTACTCTCAAAAAGGTCAGTATACGCGCTCCTCTATGCAAACTAAAAGCTTTAACTCACCTAGGGCGGTTCTATTAGGTTTTTATTAATATATAGTGGATCCTGTTGAAATTTCGATCTCACATACAATTTTAGTAGGGGGGAAAAATTCCGGATGGCAGTGCCAAGAAATGCCCCGATTTTTGCATATAATAGATCCTAGTTTACCTCGAGGCTCTACCGCGGACGTGGGAAGCCCAACACCTGGCTTGTGTGGTATCAGCCCAAAACAGCAAGAAAATAGTGGAAACGCCAAGAGCTCACGTGCAATCCCAAAACGAAGTACCCCAGAAGTAGGGGTAAGCTCGGCATTTTCCCCCGCACTTTTCGCAAAAGTGCGGATCCGCTTGTTAGCCAATCCTTGGAGCGCCGCACCAGGAACCGCACATTGAAGATCCTTTAAGACAAAAGGAGACCTGCTGATGCAGCTTGCGGAGGGGTAAGCTCAGGGTTCCGACGAAACTGACGTGGGTATCCGGAAGCTGTCCAGCTTGGGGAGCTTCAAGCTTCCGAGTTAAATTCAATGCATACAGGTCCGCTCGCGCGAAAAATGGAATCAATGCGAAGAATTCAATTTCATTCAAATTTTGTGATCCCCAATTTTTTCTTCCCTGCTTTACGAAATGCCTCTTTCGGCCGAAACGAAGAAAAGCCTCCAGCAGACTGTTGACGCTGCATGTGCAGACTCGCAGTCTGGTATTCCAGGTGCCAGTGTCGTAGTCGTCGACAAAAATGGTGAAGAACTTTTCGCGTACGCTAGCGGTAAACGAGGGTGCAAGAGCTCCGAGCCGATGACACTTGATAACATCTTCTGGATCGCGTCCTGCACCAAAATGGTTGCTGGGGTCGCTTGTATGCAGCTCGTGGAGAAGGGAATCCTCGAGTTGGACGATGGAGATCAATTAGAGAAGCTCTGTCCGGAATTGAAGGAAATTAAAGTCCTTCAAGACGACGGTAAATTGGTAGAGAAAAAGAGGAAGATAACACTTAGAATGCTGCTGACCCACACTGGTACTCTCTTTCCCTGTTAGCCACAATATTCTTAACTCTGACAATGAAGGCAGCTGGCTTCGGCTACACGTTCTTTAATTCTAAGCTCCGCGATTATAGCCACCCGATCGGCTTCGATGAGTTCTCTGGAAGCCTCAATGACATCACGCAACCACTCGTACACCAGCCGGGAGAGAACTGGGAGTATGGTGTCAACATTGACTGGGCGGGGATTGCACTGGAACGTGCGACCGGGCTCTCGCTCAATGAGTACATTCATCAGAATATCTTCAATCCTCTGGGTCTAGACAACATCTCCATGTTCCCCAACGAGTCCATGCGACAGCGTCTTGCGCACATGCATTTCAGAAAGCATGATGGGTTCCTGATAGCGCGAGACCACCTCTTGCGAAAGCCGTTGGTGGTAGGAGCTGCCGAAGTTTCGAGTGTCCTGAACAGCGGTGGTGCAGGATGCTTTGCGAGGCCACAAGACTACTGTCGTAAGTCACTTTGAATGAGAATTACCTACCTGCCCACGGCTCTGACCTCCCACAGAGATTATCGCCACTCTTCTTAACGATGGGACCTCCCCACGCACAGGCGTTCAGTTGCTCCAAAGGTCTACCGTGAACGAAATGTTCCGTAACCAGATTCCTGACTTTCCCAACTTTGCCCGTCAAGGCATTCCGGACGCGAAACCTGATCTGACGAATCCAATTCCCGAGATATATCCCGTGCCAGGGAACCCGCCCCAGGGGTGGGGACTAACGTTCATGCTCAGCAACGGGGGTATAACGGGTAGGTCTAAAGGTACAGGATTTTGGGCAGGTTTGCCCAATTGTTGGTGGTGGTGCGATCGAGAGAATGGCATTGGTGGGTTGGTCTGTAGCCAGATCCTACCTTTCGCGGATGCGAAGGTCCTAGGGCTCTGGTTCGACATCGAGACACAAATCTACAAAGCCCTTAGTTCAGGTTAAACGGCGTCCGTGTTTTGTGTTTCTTGCGTCGAGATAGTCAGTTTCATCGTTGCTCTTTCAAGGAATCGTGACATGGATCTGATTACTGTAGAAACAAGCATCCAGCTGATGCCGTCCTCAATTTCAGCAAGATATCTAACGAATCAAATCCACCTGTCCATGTTCCGTGGTCGGTGCGAGAGAAATTGCCTAATGTGTCCACATCATGTCGAGCGCCGGCACGGACGAGAGGATTGACTAAATTTTGTAGGAGTAATGTCCGATTTCCAAGGATGATGTCGACACTCCCCGCACGGCTAACGTGCAAAGCTGTCGAAGTAGTTCGGTTCGTCCGCACAAGAAGGTTCTTAAACACAACGAGGCGTTGAAGGCTGACATCCTCCTTCTCGGATTCCGGGGGTGCGACAAGGTTTAGGCCCGATTTGCATGGTGATGGGCCAGCCTTCCCCGCATTTCCAAGGTGGACCCATCAAGCAATGTGGAGCCAGCCAACACGTGCGGGGTGTGCATATCAGCTTCGGTGCCACCTGGACTCCTCTGTTAGACAGTCTCATCCTTTATCCTAATTCTGACACTGGATCCCGAATCGCAGCTATGAATTTCGTCGACGTGCAACCAAGGTCGTTTCTCGATTATGCGTGGACTACACCTTCTCCTGCTCCAGGGAGCATCGCGAAATCATCAAAGACGAGTCGCAAGCAGAATCGGTGTTGCGACCAGTGTCGGAAAGGTAAACGGGCGTGCGACGCGGCCATCCTAGAAGACACTCTGCTAGACACGAATGGATCCTCTGGAGGCAACCCAACAGTCTTTCATTATAGTGGTATGTTCCCCAACTATCCATGTCCTTCGACGAAATGATAGTTGACTCTGCAGACGTTTTCGGTCCTTTGGCTGCCTGCAGCAACTGCGAGAAGACAAAAAAGACGTGCACGTTTGAGTGGCTACGATCGCAGCGAGTGTCGCAAGCAACGCCGCAATCAAGCGCTCCTCCAGCGAAGAGGCGACGAAAGAGTGGCTCTTCGAACAATTCTCAGAGTCGTACGGAAACAGCAGGTCAACTGCTAGCTGAAGTGGCCCCGCATCCATCCGCTCTGTCGGGGACAACTTTCGCAAATGGTGGGGACCTCCTTCCAGCCAGTACAATCGTGCCTTGTGAATTCGCACAGACTACGTTCGCAGACTTTCCTGGTGGCATCCCGTCGTTTGATATGGCTTTGATATCGCCATTCCCTTTTGGATCTACCCACGACACATGCAACGGTGTCGGATCGGCGTTGCGCAACGGCATGGGCCAGCTACCCGATGTTTTAGAAGACGACGACGAAACGTCACTTGATCGCGATTCCGGGCAAGGCTCCTCAATCGAGTCACTGTCGGAAGGGACCCGCGAAAGCCCAGATAGTACAAGTCCCTCGACGGACGATTCCAGTGTCACGGCAAATCGTAACAATGTCTCAAAATCGTGCGAAGCGGTGATAAGGGTACCACGGAAGAGAAGACGGCGAAGTTCGTCGAGCACGAGCACGGCTAGCGGCATGTTGTTCCCATCGATGTCGCTTGCTAACCAATTTATTTCGTCAGCCAACAACGCCTTTTTGACAGAAGGACTCCTCAAGATCTATCATGATAGTTTTGAGAATGCTTTATCGTGCTGGTTAACCGAAAGGACATGCCCATACAGTAAAGATTCGGATGTATCCTTAGCCGGTGACTCGGGACCAGATTGGAATCGCATCTATCATCGGGTATTCAAATTGGATCGACTGGCATCTGGAATTCGTGGGCGAAATCTGACGTTTACCGAAGATAAGGCTGCATCCAAAGCCATAAACTCGGTCATATTCTCCTTCGCTACTCAATGGGCCCAATCAAGCCAACGAAGTAAGGCCAAATATCCTTTCCACAGTGATGGCTCGGATAAGATGGGAGGAGTATTCAACTCGGATGAAAATTCTTCGACCAACCAGGACTTTGACCGAGCACTTCAAATATCAGCGTGGCATGAAGCAAGGCTTGCACTGCAGAATGCGGCAGAGATAGAGTCCTTTAGGGTTGTGCTTGCGCAGATCGTATTCTCCTTGACACAAAAGCCTATCGACATGACCCAAGACGGTGATTCGACATTGAAGCCAGCTGCCAACGATTCGAATGCTCCATCGTCCCCAGATACCGTAAATGTTGAAGGGATACCCAAGGGGGCTTCATGTCAGGCGGAAGACAGCGATGTGGGCGAGTGTGAAGACTTGCTCTCCAAACTGAACCTGACAATCGATGGAGAAGGTCCTCCAATTCACCTTGAGCAAGGCCTTCGATTGATACACTCCTTAAGATCGAGAATGGCAATGTCCGGAAGTATGAACAGAACCGCGTATCCGAAGATAGCAACTTCTCGGTGTGGGAACCAAAGCAGTTCATCGCCGAATCGGCTAGACGCCGCGGATCGGGCTACGGTGGACCTCTTGTTCTGGTTGGGCATTATGTTCGATACCCTGTCGTCTGCCATGCACAAGCGACCCCTTGTGGTGTCGGATGAAGATAGCGATATCTATTCGAACGAACCAAGGCCCGTTCAAAACGATACCACAAATGGGAATCTTTCGTCACATACAGGCAGCGTTTCGGAACCGAAAACAGAAAGTCTATGGGATGATTACCTGTTCGCTCGGCAGCGCAAACGCCTCCAAGCGAACCCGGTCCGGTGGCCATGTTCCTATGAGCAAGCGTCGTCGTTACTGTGCGATGCGGCACCAGTCAAAGTTCTCCTTTTCCGAAAGGTGACACGCATCCAGACGCTGCTTTCCCGCAATGTCCGAGGTGAAAGGATTGAGAGAGCCATTGCCGCAGCCTTGCAAGTATATGAACACTGGGGCAAGATGTATGCTCCGTTCATCCGAGACTGTATTGATAAACATGATAGTCTCCCGACAAGAGTGCAGTCATGGTACATCTGTTTGACGGGTCATTGGCATCTTGCAACGCTTTTGTTAGCTGATCTCGTGGAAATTATCGATAGCTCGGAGATGAGTCTTGAGTCGAGGCGTACGGAGCGAATTTCGACGAACTTTGTAGCAGGGTTCCGGGAAACAAACTGCCATGCTCTTTCAGACCTGGCAGGGTGTGCATGCCCTCGGGAGGATGCATCGTTCCCCAATTCTCGCGAGTTCCATTTTGCTGTAAACCAAGGGGCACTTCTAACTGAGCCTTGGACGGCTGTCCTGATTCGGGCGTTTGCAAAAGCTGGTGTGGTCTTGCTAGAGGCAGAAGAATCATCGGCGTCAGACATATGCAGCGCAAGGTATCAAGAAGACGCATTCCGGAGAGCGGACGACTGTGTTAAAGCGTTGTGGTACCTAGGGAGGAAGTCTGACATGGCACTTTCAGCAGCTAAGATTTTAGGAGATGCTTTGAGACAGAGGCGAAAGGGTGCCGAAGAGAAAGTGAATGAAATGAGCTCGTTTCTGGAAGCGGAGTTATGGGAGGGGTTCGAGGAAATGAATGGGGCGTTTGAGGTTGAATGCATCTAATGGGTAAGGAAAATGTACTTGGTTAATGTTTCAACATGTTGATTCTGAGTTGAGATATGAGTGATGAGAGATTGAGTTGAGATGGGGCGATGGTGGGGAAAGACGCGATTTCACGCTAAACAAAAATGGGTAAGCTAATATACCATCTCTCGGAGCGCCGAGGAACCTTGGAAGCCCGAGATGGTAACATTCTCACACGATCGTCATCACCCGTCATTCTCACAATTCCAAGGCTAGCTGTCAACATTCGAGTCTGGTTTGGCAAACTGGGCCTTCTCGTTCGCCGCCTTCTCTCAGTCGTTCATTTCCCGACACGTGAACGAGTATTAATCCTGTCCAATGGGGCGCCTTTCTGCGGTGAACGTGGAAAAGAGCTGGAGGTGGTGTTGTTCGGTTGAAATACCTCATCGCGGGGCGTGTAGCCACGGGCTTTTAAAAAGATTTGGGTTTGATGGTGTTTGGGAGATTCGAAGTTTGGCAACGGCGAATGGTTGAAGTTACCTGGAGATGATCATCACTAACAGCATACAGAATCAGCAGATTAGAATCACCGCCTCTGGTACCAGGCATTGCGGCGTACACTGAGTATCGACCCAACACTAGAGCGCACATCGTTGTCACCTAAATTGTTAGGAAACAATTCTCCCTCGTAATCTGAGGCGTTGCTGCGTACACGAAGCGAGCAGCGTTAGGAGTATCACCCCGATTCTGAGGCGTATATCACCGCCCGCCCACACCATCTGGGTACAATGCTCCCTTATTCTCCTAACAAGTGAGCTCCTCTTCATACTTCCCTTTGAGCCATGTTCTTCAACGCAAGAACCACCCCCAACCTATTAGAATTACAATATGAGCAGGGGGTACACTATCCTACGAGAACACAGACAGAGAGTTCCAGCGGGTGCCCCGACCGTAATTTGACACCACCGATGATCTATTACTGATCTGCAGGCAAACTTATGGTTCAATAGATACCACCCACGACAAGGGGCAACTACTAGATCTCTTCAGCGAGCTTCCACATCAGCTGGACGCTAACCTTGAGGAGCGGGCAGTACAAATGATCGAGATACCATGTGGAAATCGTTGTGTCCACTGTATAAATTACTAGCTCACTAATTCATAGAGTTGCCCTTGCTATCAACGATATGTTAGAGCATTAAAGGACAGCCTATGGCTCCACCGGACTACTCGAGGCAAAATCGCGTTGGTCGTCAGGATAGGCATCGGCGAGTACGATCGTATCATGTACAGAGCAAACAGGCCGATAAATTCTCACCTCCGATATCCCCACACATTATTCCTTTGCTTACAAATCGGATAAATTTGTATTCGAACTCCCGCAAGTCATGGCCCTAGTGGCTCGACGCCCTTGCCTACCAGTCCCGCCACATTCAGTTCATGCTAGTTGATCTAACCTTATAGTATGCGATACCTGGTAGCGTCACGAGGTGACTATTATCTACCTAATGGCGCCTCTAGATACAGCGATAGAAAGGCACCCAGATACGACTAAACAACACGAAATCTTCTGCGAGAAGTCCATTAATTTCCAAACCCAATACGCGATCTCTTCACCGCCTTTCTGGACGGCTAAATATCCAGCATAGATCCACTCAGCTCGGACACGGCGAGGATAACTGAATCAGCGTCTGTGCAGAGTAACTCATGTGTAATTTTATTAGGCCTGAGTCGGGGCTAATTGAGTTAACCTTCCAAGCAAGATTAGACAGAAAATCTTCATATAATCAGTAGCCCTTCGCTTTTTTATGACAAGCTTGTGACTATATGACCTAGTACTTTCGAGCCAGCATACAAGTCTAGAAGTAAAGCGCTACTATTGAGTAGATCACATGCGTTCGAATATACTTGGAGGGAATAGTAGCTTATACCTAGAGGGGGGAACATTATATTGCTCTTTCTCTTCCAGCGTCTGTTAGATACGGTTTCCAATCTCCTGGTTAACCTTCACGAACATTTCTACGCTATTTGCATTAGCAGGACGAATACATACGAAGGAGGAAGGGGGAAAGAATTGGCTTATTAATAGTTTCCATCTGAGCTTCTGGTAATGCCTTCTTTAGATGCTCGGTAAGATTGTGGATGAATGTCTTATCTTCTCCTTCCTCGAGGAAGAACTTCCACAGCATCCTTCCCTGCTCAAAGTCCTTGTCTGTGACTTACGACGTCCAGGCCGAGACTTGGCCGACCCACTTATCGTGGGAGACGTCGACGGGGCCTGTGCGGGTCTTACGGAATGAGGATCGCACTTGCACCGTGTCAGTATGATGGGCTTGTCGGTTTACGCTGAATCTCAGATTGAGCTTGGGATCCATGGGCAGACAGACTTACCATAATCAGGATCTCCACCGTAGTTCCCCTCAATCCGCACAGGTCCGTCACGCTGATATGGCGAATACACATACTTCGCCCGATTACACGGTAACTGCTGATAATTCGGCCCAACGCGATACCTCGCCGCATCCGGACAACTAAACATCCTCGCCTGCAGCATAATATCCGTCGACAGCCCGATTCCAGGCACCATGGTCGAAGGCGATAAAGCGGCTTGTTCGACATCCTGGAAGTAATTATCCGGGTTATTATTCAACGTAAGGTTTCCAAACTAGAACAAGCGGAAAATCCTTGTGCGGCCAGATCTTGGCTGAATCGAATATATTCCAGCGGTAGGTTTCTGCTTCTTTGGGATTCATTATTTGGAGATAAATGGTCCAGGAAGGGTAATCGCCGCGTTCAATTGCGTTATACAAGTCTTTGACGTGGTAGTCGGGTTCTTCACCTGCGGGACGGATGGCGTCTCCCTCTTTCAGCTAGGTTATCCCGGCGTCGGGCTGGAAGTGAATTTTCACGTATTCGAAGGTGCCGTCTTCGGGTTTTCGTATTTGTATGTGTGCACGCCGTAGCCAGCAATGTGACGAAGGGATGCAGGAACGCCGCGGGGGCCGAAGAGCTGTATGAGTGCGTGGACGCCTTCTTGGTTGTTATTGTGGAAGTCTTAGAATATGGAAGAATTAGGGACGTTGGTTTAAGGGTGGCGTTTGTGAGATCGATCAAGGGAAGGGAACTTGATGGGATCGCGGATGAAGAAAACGGGCAAGTCGTTTCCAACGATGTCATAATTTCCTTCCTCGGCGAAGAACTTCATTGCCCATCCCCGGGCATCGCGCACAGTATCTGATGAGCCTTTCTCGCCTGCAGCGGTGGAGATGCGCATTAGAACTTTCGTCTTCTTGCCGATGGTGTTGAGGGAGGTGGTGGAGGTGATGTCATGCGTGACTTCAAATTCGCCCCATGCACCTGCGGCTTTTGCGTGAACCGTTCTGCTACTTCTAGAACAGAATTGTTGATACAAAAGAGACGGATGCATACCTCTCTGGAATTCTTTCCCGAGGGAAGTGGGCCAACGTCTCGATCAACTGGATGTCTTCCAGCAGAGCAAGACCTCCACCCCGGACTTTAGATCCACGAAGAACCGTGGCAGTAGTAGGATCGTCGACAGGAAGGCCTACCAACAGATCAGTAAACACGCAGGCGGGATACGGTACACCAAAAGATAGGGATTAAGGTCGAACCTTCGGCAAGGGTGTAAACAGTTTCTTCATTTGCCTAGGAGAGCCTTGTCAGCATTTCATCAAGAACAAATGTTCGTCGAGACACCACACAGCAGACATGTTGACAATACAATAATTCTGCTTCGTCTAAGATATCCGTTACCCTTTAACTTGTCCTGTCCCTCCCTGATCATCAGCCCCGTCCCATTTTATGCCCTCTGCTCTTGCTCACGCCAGTGTATTTCACCAATATGAAGTCATCTACAGTGCCCTATCATATCTACATCCTCCCGCCTATTGAAGGTGAATAAGCTGGGTACATCCAATTAAACTCCTCGCAAAGCGTTCTGAAGCAAGGTAAGCAGCTTTCGGAAGCATCGGAAAGCACGTTAAACCCTAATTTGAAGGTAAAGGGAGAGGTTTGAGCGCTCAGTAACATAGAATTAGGGCGCACAGTGGCAGGATATGCGTGGTGATATGTTTTAGTTTAGAGGTCAATGAGGGAAGATGTTCGGGAAGGAGTCGGTTATTAAGGGAAGCTTAGCGGAGATGGTTCGGATCGGGTGCAAAGGGAATTCGGGGCGGAGATGTATCGGGATGGGAAGTACTAGCAGTGTAATTCGTGGAACGCGGATGGTGACTAACATCGTGTCAGCAGACATTACTTGAGCTTTTATAGCTCGAGATTTCATTAGAAGAGGATTCTTTGCCTAGTTCTGGATATTTGGGTCCGTCGTATGTGAGGAGTCCCTGTCGACCCGGATCATTTCTAGATTCTACCCTTAGCTACCTTTCCAAATCCCCATTAGATATTGAAAGCCGCGCTCTCGGCATTCATGCGGGGTCAACACCTTCAAATCATTTTTCACCCCAACAGCAATATAAAACTAGTCACACTGCATCACGTCTCGGCCCTAGCCACCCTATTCTCTCCAATACCCCTCGGCAACGTAAGCTTCATAACCGCTGCGACACTAGATTCGCTAGGAGGGAGAAATATTGCGCCGGGGAAACAGTTCTTGAGCTTCCAGCATGAGATATTTCTTAGGTTACATATGTACGGGAAGGTGGCCTGACTCTAATTAACTTGAACACCGAGATGGTGTGCAGACCTATTCCCCTTTGTCAACTGCGGACTTCGGGTTGTCAGGATAAGTGAGAGGGTTTGGAGAGGCTAAGAAGACTAGAACCCTTGGATTCGATTACCTCAATCCGGATCGTACGTACGATAAGATACCTAGTCACGGGAGATGTGGAGTAGATGAATGCGTACGTATCTCAAAATCTCCCCAATTGTTGACATGTCGGAAGTTCATCCTTCATGCGGTCTGTAACCCTAACACATCCCTCCGTTGTCCTGGGTGTCTCTTGGATACCACTCCCGCGGCATAGACACATTAAATTCCCGGCTCCAGCATACAACAGCCAACATCGGCGTTCCGAGAAATTTGTCGCGTCTTCTTTCAGCCAACCAAACTCAAACCCAAGTCCAGAGAGATAACAAAGAGCTGAATACAATGGAAAATCTGACGAGAATGGAAGTCAATAGCCAGCCTGATACCATGGGATTGGCAGCAATGTAACCTGACTGCATGATTTCTTGGGCGGGTCAGGTAACGGAGACGAGAACGAGAGAGGGCGGAGTTGACGGCCATCTCGAGCGAGGCGGTAGAGCATACGAAAACGATGCGCATCTGCCCAGGTATTCAATACGATACCTCTGCCTCCTGACGCCTGTTTTGTGGAAGCCGATAGCCAGCTCTCATACCCCGGGGTTGGCAACAATATCCGTCGGCTTTATGATTGCTCAGGCTGGTCCAAGGATTTGGAAAGAGAGATTGTATCGGGGGTAAGTTGGTAGACCATACGAGACCGCCCAGGTCCTAAATACGATTTCAATCCCCCTTGATGCCTGTTTCGTTGACCGGTGTTCTCGGCACTACCAAAAAACTACCCCCCTCCCAAGCAGGGTATCGATATAAACCACCTCAACTTTTCAATTCAGCTCAGTTCTTCACCACGGCCCATATCCCATCCCCCTTCAAGCACCAAGCCCACCCAACTCACCATGCATCTCCCCTCTATCCTCTCCATAGCTCTCGCTCTCTCTACCACTGCTCTAGCAAAATCCTGCTCCCTAACCGGCAGCGACACCATCGTCGCGCGCTCCTGTCCATCTCGCGCATGCGATGATATGAAACATATGGCTCCGGGTGGAACCTGTAATGTTGATTGTTATTGCGAGGGAGAAGTAGTGGGTGGAGATCCGTAAGTATTATTCTTTTTGTATGGAAGGGGTCGTTTTGTTGGAGAGCCGGTGCGGTGGAGGGTGGGGGCCAGGGTGGACATCAAGTTGGAAGATTGGGGAATGATGCTGATGCTAACGTGAAATAGGTATTGGCTCCACATGAGCAGTGGATGTTCTTCTGGAAATTGCTGGGTTAGGGCTGCGAGGACTGGTTGCTGTGGGAGTAAGTATATTCCTGTTTCTTGTGGGTGAGGAGAGACTAAGCTGACTGGGCATAGCTTGTGTGCCAATGTGTTCACACTGTCCTTGCGCGCACGCTGGCTGTTAAGGGTTCGTCGGACTGACCTGGCAACAGCAGTCAGGATTTGGATGGGGATAACGGTCATTAGTGGAAAAAAATTGGAACTCTGTAGTCGCTCAGAGATATGGAATGTTGGGTGAGTTGGGGTTTTCCACTTATTAAAGGGAGAATTGATGGGGTATCTTGCGCAACTATCTACAGTCACTACACTTTATGTAGCGCCTAAACATTTCGCTCGTAATTGAAGTGCCCAAATTTCCACTGTGAGACTGTGAGATGGCTGACTTATGGTGTCCGCCTGGCCTGGACCCAATGAGGCACTTCTACAATTAGTTAGCGAGGCAGTGCAAAACGACCGGCTAGGGTTCAAATACCAGTCTCTATAGACGTAGACTTGTTCTGAGCCTTGTTCTCTTCCGCATCCACATCCTGGGCCGCTCCTTCTAGCAGATGTCGTGGCGATAGCTGGAGCAGTTGTGCCACAAGACTTCTGATGACGTAACCCCTCAACTCTCTCGCTTCTTTCATGTCTTCACCTGCTAGACCGAATCTGTCTTCTTTGCTGATTTTCTCCCTTCGTAGGAGTTTAATTTCGTCCATGATGTGCAGGAGCTCCTGTTCAGAACAGCGAGTACGTTCAGCAGCCCATGCCGGAGACTGAACATAGCGTCGTGTTACGTCGGTGGCACCGTCGATAGAAAATGCGATACAATAGGCTATTTTCTTGCCCCATACTAAGGACGTTAATCGAATTCTTGAGAGATAACTGGGACAGGATATGGCCATCAGGGCGGTTCTAGCTTACCTTCAGTGTACAAGCGAGGTTTATCCCATGCTTCCTCGCACGGGTCAACATGTATCCACCGGTTTCTGTGAGTGGAGAACACCTCGACCCAGATGTGGTCTTCAGAACTCCAAACCCAACGCACTCTACATCCTACTGAACGACATAGCATGCCAAAGCAGTTACCCCACTCACCAACTCGTCCTCTACGGGTCTGTAATAGAACAAATGCATCCTTATACCGCGGAAATCGTTCATACTTTTCACATCCAGCATTCGTACATCGATACAGTTCAACTTCAAGGGCGCCACAGACTTGTTCCTCAGGGGTCGGATTCGCCATGCCCCACGCAGTTGTAGGACTCATGCAGTTGGTACATGTTGGGTTGTTGACCCAGGTGAAGAAGCTTCGTTTGAACCAGCGGAGCATCGCTCGGGCCACACAGTCTTGGTAGCCCCATGCAGGCTTCAGGTCCGGACCTAGGCTCTCTGCTTCCGCTTGGAGAAGCTGGGATTCCTCTTCTGCCTGGGAATATATAGCATCTAGTGGGACTGAGCGCAGTGCTTCATCTAAAAGCCCAGGATTTTCCCATTTTGTTGGCATGCTGGAGAGCGTGACTAACATATTCCTGAACTTGATGGACCTCGAGTCCCGGGGTGGTGCGGGAATTAGAGGAACATTCCTAAGAGATGAGTAGGAAGGTGGTAGAGGAGGGTCGTCGACGCTCGAGTTACTTGCGCCGGGATGCGTCAGGGCAGAGTGGGCTTTGGATGCGGAAAGTTCGTCCATGCGTTTAGAGCTTAAAATTTTCCGAAAACGTATTGTGAGGTCTTTTGCCGCGGCGATATCGAGTCCTCCCTTATCTGATCGCATGGCTTCCTTGCCGCTCAGTGGCCTTGCTGCTCCCCTTGCACCAACTTGAGATTGTACTAATGATTTGGAAAGGGACTGTGACCCTGATGTCGAATTTCCGGCTGGACCTTGCTCATCTTCAAATGTACTCTCGTCTGAGGGCCAAGTACGGTTCCTAGCCGTCGGCCCTGAAGATTCAGAATATTCAGGTAGCTCATCTCGCTCAGGTAAATTATGTTCCGGGATGCCTGAGAGACGCCGTGGATGAAATGAAGCAAGGTCTAACGTAAACGGGTCTGAAGATGCTACTGGTACGGACCTCTCGGCTTGCTCGGTTCCAGAAACAACTACTGGTCGATGCATTAATCTCTTTTCAATATCATCGAATATTTTATGGGAGGGAATGATGTATGCTGTGCCGGAACCAGGTGAACCGGCCACGATGTGCCCGCGAAAGGTTCCAGATTCCCGGTCAACGACCCACGAACCACAATCTCCCTTGTCAAGAGGACCATTGAGTTGAACTGAATATACCTCCTGGTAGCTCCTCGCATTTGGAAGCCTCATGTAAGAAGGTGTCCCTGACATCCACCCTTGGAGGTAACCGGCCGAAGCGGTGACAGCAAAGACCCCTGTGCTGTCCGGGCTCGACGGAGGACAATCCGTGTTGTCAGCGGCCAAAACGGGTTCAAAAGCATTCAGTCTAGAGACAAATCCTATAGGTATATCTAGCAAAGCGTAATCAAGCTCTGGGTGCTGACCATCGATAGATGATAGTGCCACATTGCCAATGGATGAAGGTGGAGAAAAATTGAGGTATTGATCTGGCGTGGAGAGGTGGAGAGACTCTTCGACCCACTCGGGAGTCGATCCTGTTTGCGTTTGAGGTTGGGAATTAATGTCTAGCGCAATAGGGTTTTGCGAAGACATACTCGAGGATCTAGTAGAAGGCAGCGATATTGATTCCCATTCATCGACGGACATAGAAGGCCTAGGGCTGAGACTGCCTCTGCTGGTCATTTCAACATTCTCACCCTCGAGGTCATCATCCATATCACTGTCGGAGAAGCATAGTTCAGTTTCAGCCTCTCCAGTTGGCGTGGGTGAATTGGGGCTTTGTTCAAAAACGTGTGCAGCGGTCATGCAATAGTACTTTTCGGAGACCCGCAAAATACCACCCAACGTCGCTTTCTGAACTGTTGAGGTCTCGCAGCCTCGGACCAGCAACTGGGATCCAGGACCAACGTAGTGGGATGCAGAAAAGATCAGGGGCTGAGAGCCGACATTTTCACGGGGACCTTCGATGAAGCACTCGCTGCTATCCATCTGCAAGGCTAGCTGAACAAGTTGATTGTAGTCAGGAGCTCGTGGTAGATGTTTGAGTGCAATGCCTGGGTAAGCGTCGAGGAGCCGACTTTCCCGAATGGTGTTCCTCACCTCCCTGCGGTGGGTGGCTTCTTCGCAACAGAAAATGATGACTGGTGATGCAGTTTCCGGCGCACCTCCAACCATGTAAATTGACCAAGTAACCCAACTTGGAAGTGGTTCGCTGTAATTGTCGAGATAGGTTTTGATTTCAGGACCCAGAGTCAGAAAGGCAGTTCGTGCAGGCCCGATTGCCTCCCAACAGCTCTCTCGTCCAATTTTCACGATGAAGCGGCCAACTGAGACCTGCGGGTTTGGCCAGCAGAGTTGGGCTGTGCTTCTTCTTTTTGCAGTACTCCGATCGGTTCTGCTTCGTCGGATTCTTGCCAGCGCGTTCATGGCCTCGGTGTTCGCCTTCGTGAGGGGGGAAAGAAGGGATGTAGACATCAACCCAGAGATATTTGAGGACGCAAACTCAAAGCCTTCGCTGTGGAGGGCAAAGGGGATGTAATATGCAATAGTGGTAAACACCACTGCAACAGTTCATTCTTGCTCACCTGTGGCGGTGCGGCTGAACTGCTGAGGACGCGTCACCGTGCAGGATGCATCCGCGTATGACCGAAACCCGGATTGGATGGACATTAGGATGGACACTGGAAATATCTGATCATAAGTGGTGTGTGCATTCAGCAACAATAAATGCATGCTGATGAAAGGGTATGGATTGGTTGTGCGGAAACAGTTTGTCCCTCAAAAGTTCAGAAACAACTCCCCCACCCAGGTGTGGCTGCTGTGGCTAGCGAACAAATGTCAGCCGTCATGGCGTTCCTCACAACTGGCTTACTGGAAACCCCACTTCATTCATCGACTCAAAATACCATCATCGACTCTTTCTGGGGGCCTGTTCCAATTCTTCACCGCCGCAGCTTGGATGGTATCGACCTCGAAGCGTACTGGAGCTTCTACTTCAAGGAATGCGAGCATGCTCTCCATGATGGAGGTAGGCATGTCACTGCTCGGACGCACCAGGACATCCTCGACATCGTCGCACTGCTAAGAGATCACGAGTCACGAGACGACATTCGGGACTCACTGCGCTCTAAGCTCTCGCGAACCTATCTAAACGAGGGCGACCTTCTCGACAGTTCGATTGACCTCGCCGCCCGCCTCTTGTTGATGATCGACTTTGGAAATCTCCAGTATGGCTTCTCCGGACGACGACAACTTCGCTGGGATAAGGGGCGTCTAAAAGACTACCTCAAGTCGTACTTTGGTACGCCTCCCGCGTTGGGCCACGATCGGGTGAAGCTAGAACGTGTCTTCAACGCTTGCAACCTGGGCCGGATAGCTGGCGTAGAACTCATCCCAACGGATAATCTGATAGATCATCTGCGATTGACCGATGACGACACCAAGGTGTACATTTTCCACCACGCTTCATTCTTGAAGTGTCAGTCCCGAAGGTACGTCTCAGAGGTCACGAAACCACACCCCCCCCCGGTTTGCTGTTGAAACTAACTTGCCCAGTACAATCATGCCAGACGGCTTGGCAGATGAAACCCTCCGCACCCTCGCTCTTCTATTCCCACAATCCGATCCCCATACGAGAAAGTGGTTTCGCCAGCTTCCCCCACCCTTCTTGCTCGATCCGCAATTGATACAGTGTGGACACCTCAAAACTGACGACCGTCAAATCGAACACTTCGTATTTTGGCATGACCGACTAGTTATATTGAAGCAGATCTTTGACGAGGCAACACCACGTCATATTTCTCAATGGTGGTATGACAGGCGAAATGGAGTGCAATGGTACACCTTTTGGGTCGCCATCATGGTGCTGGGCCTTACGCTCCTATTTGGGTTGGTGCAGTGCATTGAAGGCGCCATGCAGGTCTACGGCACCTTTCATCCGAAGCAAAGCTGATTATTTGAGACACCAAGACGTATGTTTGCCTACTCGCGCTCTCCTTGGATTGCTTAGAATCAGTACCCCGAGCCCATCGCGATAGTTTCGGTGCTCTCCTTTTCCTCAACCAAAGTCTTGTCTACTGTCCTGGTGTCGCAAGTTTTGGGTAATAGACACCGGAATTCCAAGCTGAAGCAATTTCCTTGCAAGAATCTTTGCAACTTCTACTACGCACAATATATTACTCCTCATCTCCACAACTAGGACTACTATTTGCGTCGAATCGCACGAAAGGGAAGCTCACCGCTCTCGCATTACTAGCCCAACTCAGTCCCCTTCGATATGCGAAGAAACTGAAATGCTTCTCCTACGTCTACAAAGAGCGTTGAAATCTGTGCGCCAAGCATCAGCCTCGTATTTCGTGGTCCAGAGCGCTGTCGCTCGTCTTCCAACGGTGATCCCTACCAACTCGACATGGTTTCTATTTAGGGTTCAGATTTATAAGCTCGTAATACTCCCAATGTAGTATCCCCCGGATCCCTCTTTTGCTCAACTCGTCGTCGCGTACGTCTTGGCTGGCTTCTTGAGTTTTGAGGCTGCCTGACTTTTGCTACTCTCTTGAACAGCTGGCCGGGGATAGAAAAATGTGTTGTTTTAGTGGTGTTGCGGTCTTTCTCGAATGTGATTAGTAGAGCATCCCCTGCGGAAGAGCTTCGATTTAGTTGTAAAGAGGTGGATGGAAAACCTTTATTCAAATCCCATTCAATAGAACCACCTACTTCAGCAGACCGCTATCAAGATGGGTTGGCAACGCACATCCGTCACTCTGGGATTCCTTTGCATTTCTCCTCTAGCTGGAGCTTTTTGCCTCGGAGGCACCTTCCCGCCATTTATTTCGAGGGGAGGAACATGCAGCAACGACCCGAATGATGCTCAGAATCTTGTTCTCTTCGCTGTACCTCCCCCAGCGTGCGACAATCGCGGTACCTGGAGTATGAGACTCACCACTACTAATACAGATGGGGTTGCCGGAGTTGCAACAGCTCGTGAGACATATACTGTGGCTGTTTCTGGGGTGTCGACGACATTGACATTTCATTATGACTTCCCGGTTTCGGCACTGAAGGATGGGGCTGTAGCGACGTTTGGGGTCGACGCCACCAGTGGAAGTAACGGATACTCAGCGTTTCCATCCTGGAGGCAGACCTTTATTTCAAGCGTATTTTACTCTACCGAAACTATCACTATCCCTAGTGTAGCTTTGGAGATGACGAGTGAGCTTTCTTAGTAGACGTGTAGAAAGTTGACTGATCATTGCTAGCAACGACCTCTACACTCACGGTTGAGGAAACATCAACCATTACCCCGACTGCGTTTGTGACTTCCTTCAAAGGTACAAAGACAGGTCAGTCACAGTAGCCTCCGTCACAGCCTTCCCTATACTTACTGTTAACTAAGTTTACATGCCGAGAGCAACTACAACCAAATCCATTACTATTACTCCTCTCCCTCAAACAGTATACACCCAGATTATCATCAAATCCACCAAAACCGTAACATGCATTCCATCGAAGCAAAACTCACACTACCGCTCTCCCCGCAATGTGCTTTCTCCCCGCCAAGCACCCGGCGGTGATGCATTCTACGAACCGCCAAACTGCGGCGCTGTAACTCCCACAACACTTCCCACGGTCCTGCTTGTAACTTCAACTAGCACGTCGACTGCGACGGAAGAATCTTTGACATCGACTACCACAACGCGTACGATTACTGGATCGGTGTTTGTAAGTATTGTAAGCGCGAAAGCAACCACAACGATCACGCCAACCCGAACGATAACGAAGTTCACGTGTGCTAAAAGAGCCACGAAGACGGTGACTAAGACGATTAAGGTGGAGCAGACGGTTTATCCGAAAGGGAGGAAGACCCCCAGGTGTGGAGGATGGACGCCGTGGGAGAATCGACCGTGGATGAAAGCAGATGGGTGTGAGGAAACCAAGGGAGGCAAGTAGAGTCTCTAGAGAGGCAATCTATCTGCACGGGCCTTACTTGCTAGCGCTTAGCTGGGTAAATGGCTCCGAATGAAGGAACTTGTTCGCATTTAGTCAGACTTCAGGCCTAGTTTTAACAGCAGCCACCGCAGCTCCTTGTTCAACTCTTCAAACTCAAAGATGGCTAAGTACTGACTTCCCCCACCTTATCCTGGTCCTTCTCATGGCTCACCTCACCCCCCCCTTTTTCCTTGACGCCAAACTCACTCTCCAATTCCTTCTGCAATTCGATCTGTTTTTCCAATCCCACAAGCAAAACCCCAAACCCCGCAATCCCAATTGCAACCTGCCAAATCAATTTCAAAGTATCTGTATAGACCCCTACCACCTCCTCACGCACTATCCCTTTCAAGCTCCCTACAAACGCTTTGGTAGCATGTTCGTACCCGCCACCCCCAACTAACAGCGCCCGCACCCCTTCATCCGAAACCCGTGCATTAGCAAGATACCCAAGGCGCTGATTGAAAATTGTCGCTGGCACAGTAACCGCCCACACCACACCAAAACTCCGGATAAATGCAAACGTGCCCGTTGCAGTCGCGACATCGGCTTGAGACAGCGGTGCCTGGATTGCCGGCAGGAGCACTGAGACTGCGATACCGGAACCCGCAGCTTCGATGGCTTGGAAACATACCCATGCGGAGGTTCGCGAGGATGCGTGTAGTAAGGTAAAGAGGCCGAAGCCCAGCGTCATGACACTGAAACCGAAGAAGTGCAAGAGTTTATATTTCCCCGTTTTGGCGAGCATACGGCCGGATATGGCGGCGAAGGGGATGAGGATGAGGACGGTTGGTAGGAGTTGTACGCCCGAGCGAGAGGGTGAGGATTCGAGGACGGCTTGGAAGTATATGGGGAGGAAGTAGATGGTCCAGAACGTAAGCAGGGAGTGGAGGAATGTCAGAATGAAGGCGGTCATGCTGGTCCGATTTCCAAAGAGGCGGGGTGGCATGCTAGGTTCGGTGGGATAGCGTTGGTAGATGAGGAAGGCGGTGAAACCGGTAATTCCTAGGGCGAGGGGCACGAGCGTTCGCCATGAAGACCAGGGATGTACGACGCCGCCGTTTGTGAGGGCGAGGAGGATGGAGATGGTGGAGGCGATGAAGATGAGGTTTCCGAGATAGTCAATGCGGCGCAGTTTGGTGCCGATGGGTTCGCGTTTGAAGGTTACATGGAGGAAGAAGTAGACGAGGACGAGGACGGCGCCGCCGACTGGGAGATTGAGGTAAAACACCTAAAATTCCGTCAGCGATTACATCGGGATCGGCTATCTAAGGAATGACAACTCAGTAAGCGGGAAGGAAACACATAACATACCCATCTCCAAGACGCTCCCTGCACAATAACACCCCCCAAAAAGGGGCCGATACCATTCCCCACCGTAACGGCGAGGAAGATAATCGCCATGTACGAACCCCTCTCCCTCAACGGCACAATATCACTCACGATTAGATAAGGTAACATCTGCAAACCACCTCCTCCCACCCCCTGAATCACGCGCCCTGCAATCAACATTTGCATACTCGTCGCACCGCCACTGATTCCACTACCCAGCACGAACACTGCGACGGCGAAGATCAGCAGGTAGCGGCGACCAAAGATATTAGCGGTTTGACCATAGAGAGGTTGAACAACAGTGCTGGCTAGAAAGTATCCGTTCACAGCCCAAAGGTAGAGGGACCCACCGCCAAGATGCTGGATTATGGTTGGTAAGGCGGTGGAGACTACCGTGCCTTCGAGGGCAGAGAGGATGGCAGTTGTACAGAGAGCGAAGATGATACTCCAGAATCTAAGATTGCGTTTGAAGGTCGGAGGATCCTGTTTCTCACCTTCCGCTGTTGTGTTTGGTAGAGGCTGTACGACGTCTGGCTTGGGAGAGATAGAAGCCATAGAAGCGGTTAAAGAAATGGTAATAATAATCTCGACTATAGACTCGTCAAAATAAGAATGGTCTTGTCTTGTCTTGTTCCACAACTAATATTTTCGAAAAGGGATAGGCGCGTTATAAGGCCGACACTCTCCGACCCTCCGCCCACCATCCGCTCCGCGTCCACCGCACAGACTTGTTCACAGACATCACATCAGTCAGTCTGAACGCAGCTTAGTTAGTAGATTTCTGCGAAGGATGGTCACAATGGTGGATTATATTTGTTGAATGCATTCATCCAAATGCTTAAGAGACTAATTCCGAAGGGGAAAGGATGGTAGGCCAGGGTGAAATGCGAGAGCGCTTGTATTCAGTCGTCTTTGAGTTGTGACAGAAATTTTGCATAATATGATATATACGTACCAGGCTGATTCTCGATTGTAAAAATCTTTCAATGAAAGGTTCTGAGAACAGGTTCCTATAGCAGACAACCTCCCAGCGCTAGATGAGTTGTGTTCGATAGAAAAGCTATCCGGGACTCTGTACCGGTACATGATGTTATTTGAATGTAAGCCCACCTTTTCTTGGAAAAGATGGAAAGCCGGATGAGATCTAAGTGCTGCTAAAATACAGGCCTAAATTCACCGCTTCTAACGAGGCGTAGTACTGTACGATTACGCGATTTTGAGGCCTGTACGGGTGAGATTTTGTGTACGTTTGTACAACAGGGAAGAGAAGAGGCAAGTGTACGTATTGTAACTAGTACAGCTCACCTAATCTGTACAAGTAGTACAATTTAATTAAAGTCCACTGTACTCTAGTTAAAATAGCTAAGGTTGTTAGTCTTTAATGATGCTGTATTAAGTTTAATTAACTATAAAGTAACTATTTTTTTAGTAATAAAAGTAAATAGGTCTAGAAGCTTTTTGCTTACTACTTTATACTATAGATAGTTCTTCTAGAGTTTAATAGCCGTAATTATTAGTTACTATATAACTAGCTATACGAAAACACCTCTTACAGCAACTACTAGCTAGGATAGTAAAGAAATTAACAGTAAAGTTAACCTTATAGTCTCTTAGTAGGTGCTAAATAATATAGTTGTAGCTATCTACGACCTTTGCAGCACCTTAAGAGCCTTGCTTATAACACTAATAGCAGGGCTAGAGGCACATTACCATACTCTACTTCTTTAAAAGCGCAAAATCTATGCTATAAGCCTACGCCTTTAACAGTGTGTAATTTCCTTGTAATGTTGTCCTGATAAAACTTTTAGCTAATTAGAGCCCTAGAAAACTCCTAGACGCTCCCTATAGAACCTACTGCTTGTCATACAAACTCTCTAAAAGGGTAATATAATCCGCGCTACGTACTGTACCTAGGGCATTATTAAATGTACGGTACGGCCCACGAACTCGACACGTTCGTACTGAAGACGTGGCCGTTACGGTTCACTTTGTACGCACCGTAGTACGGCCCGTTGGAAGCCCTGAGCTGCATTATAGCGCACATCGCTTTCATAAAGATATTTTTGCTAGCTGAATCGATGGAAGTGGCTACATGACCTATAGCAGGCAATCATGGGGTAGGATAATAAAACACCATCGTTAATCTTGCTAGGCTAGCCCTCCTCTAACCACAGGACTTCCGATTGCTCCTAGGGGCGCTGTTGACAGCACAACGTTATGATATGGTCTCATCTAGTGAAACTAAATCCGGCAAAAGTTCCTAATCCTAATTGGGCAAGCCTCGGCAACTTTTCATACCTTGCACCTCATTACTCAGCATCCATCGGCCTTTGTCATCTTCAGCAACGAAACTTCCTGTCTGCCCACGCATCCAACATAGTATGACAGAGTCTATTTTAAGACGCAACAGTAAAATGTGCTCATTGTTCTTCTACGTTTATATTGGAGGGATCTATAACATCTATTATTGTTCCACGCTACCCATCAATTCCCTCTCTTCATCCACCTCGACCTCCAAAACCACATCACACTCCTGTTCGTAGCCCTCCGCTCGCGAGCAGCAATTATGATATGCTGGGGGTGCAACCCCAAATCCCGCCACTTGTTCAAAAGCTTTCTGTCTAACCTCCTGCAGCGCACTCCTTCTCTCATCCAAGTCGTGCGCGGAATCCCGGACACCCGCTCTAGCTATCTTCTCCTCCCCTTTCGCTGCGGCCAGTAGCTGGCCTAGCATCTCGTTCCCAGCTGTCCAGTGTTCTCGCGCAGATGAAATTACCTCCAACAACTCCCGCTTCTCGGCTCTCAAAGCTTCGGCCTTCTCAATCCTAACTCTTTTCACGATATCTTCCATCCTCTTAGCCAACTCATATATCTCCTGCTGTATAGGCGCGAGAGCCAGCATCGCCTTCTCCAAACCAATGCCCGTGATCGCTCTGTAGTGGTCGAAATTCGCCAAATCGCTTTTGACATCGCTCAAGCGCAGAAATACACTCCGCTCCGCCTGCATTCTCGCATCTTTCAAATACACCCCCGCATTCTTCCAGTTTCGACTTGCTTGCTCGATAAACCGTATTGCTTTCCTTCTCGTAAGAACTATGCCTTTCATTTCCTCGTGGAATTCTCGGGAGTGGTGATTCGCACTTTCAGCAGCGTCTTCTGTAGGAAAGCCAGGCGTAGGTCCGTCAAAAAGATCCGCGTAAAGTGCATCAAGATCCTCGTGTGCTTTCTCATGTTTCTCTGCTTCAGTTTCTACTTCTTTCGCCTCTTTCTCTGAAACTTCTATCTGTTGTAAAAGTTCCGATTTCCGCATCTCACTCCGGCTCTTCTGGCCCAACACTTCGTAGTACATCTTTTCTTCTAAACTTCTTCCCTCGGTCATTTTAGTTTCTTCCAAACATTCCTCCCTTTTATCTCTCAAATTTTTTATCCGCAGTAGTCTCAGCAGATTTTGTAGCATCTGCCTAAGAACCATACCCCCTCCAGTCCCTCCTCTTTGCTCTTGGAGCTCCAAAAGCCTCTGCTCGATTTCTACTATCACCTCTTCCTGCCGTTTCAACTCATCCCTCAAGATAGAAATATGTACTCTTTTTTGCGTCAACGCGGCCGGAGCATCACTCGTATCTCGTAACGTAACCAGCAGAGCGGAATTCTTCGACGCGGTTGCGGTGATCCTCGCACGAATCATTTGAGCAGTAGTTGCTTGATCTCCATGGGCTGTATTTGAAGCGTTGCTTAAAGCGTTCCATGTTCCATGTCGGTATCTTTGAGGCTGCGACAGCGGGTGCGCGTTTAATTTCAAAGGTGTTTCTCCATCCGAATGTGCATGCCTGTCTACATCTGCGCTTTCCAACCTTTCCGTTGCTACATAAGCATACTTAACATCCGGATCAGCGACACGGTCGCGGGCGAAAGTGGTGGGTGGCATATTATCTTATCTATACCCTGAAATTGGGGAAAAAGGCAAGCTCCAGATAACTGATATCGGGCTGGGGACGCGAGCTGTTATACACTAGGAGGCGACTCTTTCTGTGCTGACATGATTCCTAACAATTGTGGCGTAGGCGAGTCAGTGCTGGCTTGTTTCCTAATTCGGTCATTTGATTCCGAATCACGGCAATCTCCGCCTCTCCGCATCTCCGCACCAGGCTGAAAGCCGACTGAGACAAATAATTTAGTACGTTACCTAGATCTTACCATGTAATACAATTCAAGATCCGAGGAAGCTGCCCATGATTCTAGAATCAAAAGAAACTAACATGGAAAGACTAACCTGTTATGTATACGGTAGTCTGACGGCAAGTCTTAAATGCATGGCAAACCTTTCACGTTCTTAAATTTAATCACGGTTCCTTTAAAGGTCAGAAATCCCAGCCATGTGATTAGGGTCTTATACATTCTCCCCAGCTCCCTATTTAATTTCTTTTCATGCTTGCTGGTGGCGTGGTTACGAATTGTCTGAGACTATGATTAAGTCGATGTGGCGCGGCTACAGGGCTACAACCTGCTGCCTCATATTCAACTCTGAGATAAAAATGTGATAGAGGAAGGTAATAATGCCTCTCCTCTCCTCGGAGCTGAGGAATAAATGTCATTTCTCTCTTAGTTCTCTTCTCTGTTTGTCAGCACTAATGAAGATGTCGAAAGACGTCATTGAGAAGAATGCTGAAGAGCATCCTTCGTCTCCAGTCGTTCTAGAAATGGAAGGCCCTGAAGGATTTGAATTCTAGCCCGTTATTGCCTCCTTATACCTAATATCATTCACGTCTTCGCTTGATGGCTCCATTATGGCAATTGCTCTTCTAGGAATATCGACAAACCTCACTTTAGGAGACAAATATGTTGGAATCGCAAGCCATGTCGTTCTTACGCAGACAGTTTTTCAGTCAGGGTTCGCTTAATTATACGACATATTTGATCGTCGCTAGGCAGCAGTTATTGCGGTAGTCATATTTGCACTAAGCAGCGGTATTGCTGGCAGAGGAACGTATACAGCTAATATAATTATAGGTCGAACAATACAATGAATTAGCTTAGATGAAATCACTGTAATAGCTGAATTTATTGTTTGTGATTTCTTCTTTAAGGCGCACCACAGAACATGAGGAAGCAAACTGTTAAGAAATTTCTTAAGCAATAGGATAGCTAGAGAGATACCTTCTTGTACTTATGTTCTGATAGCAGAGTGTTGATTAGGTTAAGCTTATCTATTCTAGGCAAAAATTTAGGGATTTTTTTAGTGTTCCTTGGGTGCTTTTTTTCTTTCCTAAAACTATATAGGATAGCTAAATTTTAATAAAATTCCTAATATATTAATAAATTCTTTAACGCTCTTTATTCCAGCTAAGTAAGAAGAGCTGTAGTATACACCTGCTTTATCTATAATCTTTAAGGAAACAGGAAATATTAGATTATAAAATATATATGCCTCTCTCTATTTATAGCTAATATATTTATTCTAGTATCTCTATCTACTGTAGACTAACTCCTTAAACAGAGCTTCTCTATCTTTGTTACTAATCTTAGAAAGACTTCTAAGCTTTATGTAACGGCACAGGCAAGACAACGGATCCGAATGCGGTATGAATCCACTCAGAGGCATATGGGAGTGCGTGGGGACTCAGAAACCTGGGAATGCCATTGACACCTATAGGCCTTGTACGAAGGATATCAGAAAACTACCGAGCTAGCTAAGGGAAGAGGTACGACTAAATACTTGGGGGAATAGGGGTACAGCAAGGGGCAGGGCAGGGTCAGGGCAGGGTCGGAGCAGGGTCGGAGCAGATACGAGGAACCTTCGGATATAAGGTTCGCCAGGTAACTTTGAATGGAACGATTCAAGCGAATCGTTACACTTTATAGTAGGTAGTTAACAGACAGTGCTATCGCTTTTTAGATTATCTTTTACATTTTTAACTACATAGAAAGAGTAGCTTTTATAGTTAGTAATAGTAATTCTAGACTACCTAGGTAGAAGATGTAAGGCCGAGATATTCCTTACGCGTGACAGGTATATATACTATTCTGTACGCAGAATCAACTGTTGGTTGATTATTCGCACCTTTTGGTTGTATTGGCGCAGTGGTACAGAGCTCTGTCCTTACGGAACAGACTTATAGATGTTTATATAAATGTAATCATTAAGCTTTTACGTACTTAGTTTGATATACTATGGTAGTTAGAGCTAACTAGGGAGGCTAGAGATGCTATAGACGTAATATATTGCTGTTGTGTCCTCTCTTGCTTTCCTATTTTCTTTTACTAACCTTTTGCTCGGATGTCTGCGATAGGGGAAGCTAGTTTAGGAACTAGTCTGAGGAGGAGGGTGGAGGTAGGTAGACAACGTATTATTCTGTGCTAGCCAGTGGCGTGTGAGAATGTCACTGTAGGTGCTTTGAACAATCGTACAGAGGTTGAGACAATCTGGGGAATCCAGTGATGATTCAAAGATAACTACGAAGAGACAATCTAACTAGGAGATCTATGGTCCTTATATATCCCTTCATTCCTCAGCTTGGTTGCTGCCAAGTTTCCGGTCGTCGCCTTGGCACTAATCAAGGCTGTGTCTGCTCTTTCAGCTTCGACCGTTTCTTGTCACGTGACCCGTGACATGACCTGTGACATAAGCTGCCCTGCGCATCGTCGTGTTCCCATCATGCCAGCCCTTCAAGCGTTTGCATGCTTCCAGCGAAATCTGCTTGGTTACTGCAGCCATTGCTTCTGATTCGTAACAATTGCCACCTAACGCGTTGTTGCTCTTTAAAAGATTAGTATACACTCCCCTATATAAACTAGAAGCTTTAACTTACCTAGGAAAATTCTATTAGGCTTTTATTAATATACAGTTAGTAGATTCTGTTTAAATTTTAATTTGTAACTTAATTTTAGCAGGTGGGAGAAATTCTAAAGGGCAGCGCTAAGAAAGGCCCTAATTTTTGCATATTTAGCGTAACGTACCTAACAGGTTGGCCGGCCACACAGGTTAGCTAGCCACTTTTGCCAAGCCCCTACTAAACTCTACCTATCTACATAATGCTTTAACAACAACACTAGATTAAATCTTTTAAAGAACATTAAATATAGCTTACTTTTTAAGCTTTTAAATAAGACTTAAAACTTTTTTTATAATATACTATGTAAAGATGGGATGGTAAGTAGCACGGATAGCACTGAGAGCAAGCTTTCGGAGAAAGATAGGAGTGTATTGTAAGAGAGACGAATCGCTGCCAAGCTTCGCTTGTCAGGATTCATGCTTATATACGAAGCACAGGTCATACGACCTCCAAACAGGTCAGGTGAGGCCATACTGGCCCGTTCTGGGACATCCGGCCTTACATACTATAGCTATTTATAATGTCTTTTATATAACACTAAGTAATTAACACACTAGACAGCCTTTATAAGTAGAATGCTAGCTTAAATTAAAAAATTTAACTAAGCTTTAAAAAAAAGTAGTTAT